ATAACGTTATTAATAATGTTTTTTCAAAAATGTCAAATATTAAATGTTTTTTATTTAACCTTAAAAAACTTCATCAAGATGATAAAAGTCTCGTTAGAAAAATTGAGAAACTCAACTACAAGTAGAATAATGCCGAATACGCAGTGATCTTTATAAATAATTGTGTATATATATATATATGTTTGTGTGTGTCTGTGTGTGTGTGTGTGTGGGTGTGTGTGTGTGTGTGTGTGTATGGTGGTTGGCAATATTTCAACACAAAATGGAAATTCGCCAAATAAAACTTTTAAAATGAAACCAACTCCTCAATGGAAAAATGTTGTCTTTAGAACAACATTTAAATCCACTGGGTTAAAAAGATTGAGCAGCCATCGGCACAAATGTGAGCGTACTTTTGTTGACAGTTAATTTTCCTTCTTTGCGTCCATTTTTTGTTTGTACTTGTTCATTTATTGTTTGTGCATGTTCATCTTTTGTTCACACACGTTCATTTGTTGTTTACGCGTGCTCGTTTGTTCACGCGTGTTCATTTATTGTTCGTGCATGTTCATTTGTTACTCATGCATGTTCATTTTTTTGTTTGTGCATGTTCATTAATGTTCATTTGTTGTTTGTGCATGTTCATGCTCATTTGCTGCCTATCAACTAATCAGATGGATGGATGGATGGACTGTCGTGACGAACCAATGCAAGCGTTAAATTAACGCTGAACATAATTACTTGAATGAATTGTTTTTTTTTTACTATTATTATTTTTTTCAATTGTTGGTTGCGGACAACGACCCTGGAAAAGAGAACCTGAAAGTACAGACGTGTCAAAGTTGAGAATGTCAGTTAATATTAAATCATACACGGCGGATTCAATATTTTCACATACAGTTGAAAAGATAATACAATCAAATTTTTTGCAAATTTTTAAAATACTTTAATATAAATATAACGTTTTCACCGACAATAATACAGGCGTAAAAAAATAATACAATTGCAGCGAGAATCCTGATTAAATACAATCGTTTCAAAACTTATGAAGAAACATCTTCTACTGAAACGTTCAACGCGCTTAAATTAATTTTCTTTTCATTAATATGTTCCACAATCACGCATCACTATCACGATCACTAACACACATACACTCACACAGACACACGCACACACACACACACATTTACACGCTTTTTAATTTAATTCACAATACATCTTCACTATTAATTTCACGTCAGCGAATATACGAAAAAGAAAAATAAATTCTAAAATTTATCTGGCCTCACGAAATTCTCCCTTCATGTTGGAACGCTGAAACAGACAGCCACGTTGAGGAGATGAGCTGAATTCCTTCTAACGGACGTAGACTTGGGCTCTCTTAATTTCCTCTCCCTTTGATTCGCCTGTCTGACTTTCACGCACATTATTTGATTTTTGTAATAATTAAACGCGGCGCTGGTAGAGTTGCGAAATGTTTTACTAAAGTAGCAGTATATGAGTGGGTTGATGGAACTGTTGGCAGATCCCAGCCATTTGGCGAACGGAACGATGTACTTGTAGGCTTTGAACTCATTCTTGTTCATGTGTGAGGAGTAGAACATGTTGCGGAATTGTAGGATGTAGAGGGGTAGCCATGACAACGCAAACACGAACGTCACGGTCATCAACATTCCAATGACGTGTGTCTTCGAAGCCTGAATCATTCGATCCGTCTGCGATCCTCGAATGGAACTCACGTCACGTCGACACACCTTGTTGTTCGGAGGTTGGTTGGTTGATCGGTTGGTCGGTTGGTTGATCGGTTGTTTTGTTATTGGGTTTTCATTTTAATTTTATTATTTTTTTGAAAATTTAACTTACAATTCTAATGAAATGGAATTACGATGAAAGCAAAAAGCAGACAACGAACACAAAACTTTTCGTATACAAATACTTAATTTTGCAAACAACAGCGTATCATGCTGGCAAAACAGAGAACAAACAGACGGAGGAGAAATAACGCGGCAACCTTAATGGCGATGATGGCGTAGAGAAGGGACATGAGAAGAAGAGGAAGAACGTAGAAAACAACGATGACAGCCAGAATGAAGATGGATAGATTGGGATCATTTGTGTCCATCGTACACCTCGTCATGCCCCGATCCACCAGAATCCTGTAGAAGAATATCCAGGGGATTTGTATGCAGGCTGGAAGAATCCAGATGACGACGATAATATACATGGCTACCTTTCTTGTTATTATCACTTGTACCGGATACATGATAGCACAAAATCTAATGATGGTGATGATGATGGTGGTGATGACGAGGATGACGATGGTGGTGGTGTGAGTGAATATGATGATGATGAAGATGATGATGATGGTGATGATGAAGATGATGATGGTGGTGATGATGATGATGATGGTGGTGATGATGATGATGATGGTGGTGGTGGTGGTGATGAGGATGACGATGGTGGTGGTGTGAGTGAATATGATGATGATGATGATGATGATGATGATGATGATGATGATGATGGTGGTGGTGGTGATGATGGTGATGATGAAGAAGATTAAGAGAATGAAAAAGATGAAGATGATAGTGAAAATTATGATTATGAAATTTATAAGGGTGATAATGAAGAAGAACAAAATGATGACAACTATAATGGTACTGAAGAAGATGACAAGGTGATAACAATGATGATGATTGACGAAGACAACAAAAGCGATAAGAATAAAATTGATGATGCTATTAATTTTGACGTTTTTACAGTGCATCAGAATGTGTTGCGATTAATTTATTATGCATTGAAGTTGTTATCTATGGTGGCAGTTGTACATTCAAAAAAATAAGGAGAAATGGACACATGTAAAACTTCTTATTAAAAGAAAGTTATTAAAATTCACACTGAAGCCCCAACAAAATTTCATGGCCATTAATCAGGAACTATCAACGAAAACTACAAAATAGCACAAAAATAGCAAAGTTTTTTATGGTGATCCAAAAAGACTGAGTCTGTAACTCTGAGATTTTTTTTAAATGTCCTATTTTTGCCAAGTTTTCTTTAAAGTTATTAGTTGTTCTTCGCATATTATTTCTTCTCCCAGTTTATTCCACTCGTTGATAACTCTGCAACTGAAAAATGTTTGCTTTATCGATCGCGAGCTTTTTTCACAGATCTTATATTTATGCCCCCTTGTTTTACTGTTCATCTTAAGCTCAAAAAGTTTCACTGATTTCAAATTCTTCTTCATAGTGATGATTTTTTCTGCCTGTATCAAATCTCCTCTTGTTCTTCTTTTTTCTAATTTTGTCAATCCACCAACTGTCTTCATACGGCATACCGCAAAACTCCTTTATCATTCTCGTTGCTCTCCTTAAAATATTCTCAAGCATACATGAACACAGTACTCCGACCTAGGTCGAACCAATGCTTCATACAAGTTTAATATGACGATCACATCTAGTAGACAATCAATAAACACAGAACATTCATAATAGAATGAACATTTTTTAAATTATTTCGCTTTAGTAAAATGGGAAAAGAATTATACAGTTTATCTTCACGGCAGAACCTTTTTTATGCATCATGCAACCTAATCACACAGCTCAAACACTATTTCGCGATGTCACGATATTTTTTCCATCGACTAATTTCATACGCTGACTAGTACTTTTATGTTGATTAATGTTTTTTTATGATGATTAATCTTTTATATTAATTAATCTTTTTCATTTATTAATTATTTTTATATTATGTATGGTTTTTTGTTTTCATAATGTCACATCTACATAGTATTCCACTTCGTTGTTCTCTCCTCTCTTCATTACTGACCAAGGGATACAGTACGAATAAAATGACCTCATCAAAACAATAAACATTATTTTTCTTTTTTACCCTTGTTTACCGTCGTTGAATTATTTCCCCATTAGAGATTTTTCTGTTTTGCTTTATTTTCCAAAAGATAATTAATTTATTATGCCTTTTAAAATGATGCCCTGCCGATTCTGGTGGTAACGATTTTGTCCATGATTCAGAAAGAACATTTGCATATAAAGTAGGCCTTCCAGACAAACTTTTGTTTTGTTTATTTTTGTGTTTGTTGTTTTGTTTGTTGTTTTGCTTTGTTTGTTTTGTTGTTTTTTTCTCTTTTTGTTCTTTCTGTCAAACATCTGCAAATTATATAATGAATTTTATTTAGCGTTTAGAAAATTTTGAAATTCCCACCATTCATCAATCAACCCCCTCATTCAAGAGATGTTTTTATTATCTCATTTCAGCATTTTTTTACATTTTTTTATTAAATATACACAAATATTTTTGAATTTTTGCGTACGTGAATAAAAAGAGTCCGTAGGTCGTTTGAAACAAGCTGTCATTAATAACGCCTTCATTGAAATCACGTCATAAGAAGAGAGCAAAGATGAATAATGATCTCAATTGCATTCTTAACTTACTTGTCTATCCATCCAACCAAGTACCCACCTACCTACCTATCTACCCACTCACTTCCTACCTACCTATCCATCCACCCACCTACCTACCATTTATTGCCATTTCACAATTTTAGCATCATTATAATGAATATCATTGCAGTCAACATTATATCATCTTTACCATCATCGTCAACATCAATAACAACAAAGCTACCACCACCACCCTCACCACCCTCACCACTACCACCACCATCATCATCAGCAGCAGCATCATTAAATGAATCAATAACTACCGTACTCTGGCTGAAAGAGCGATCAAGAAAATTCAGGATTTAACGAGGAGATTCTGAAAAGTAGGTCGTCATTGAGTTTGATTGATAGGCAGTCACCGGGTTCAAATGCGTGGTGAGCCAAGTTGTAAGCCAAATCTATCTATTTAGCACGCTGCTTCATCCTCTCTATATAAAAATGTTTTCTGTAGCTTGTATTGGGCAAACGACTTAGATGTCGTTTTGTTATTTAATGAAAAATGACTTATAATGATTTATTTGCATCTAAGCAAACCAGCATTTATCAAAACTAAAAATATTAGTAAATTAGTAAAAAAAATGCGTAGAAAAAACGTGAGAGTTAATTAATTAACTCAACACTGAGGCAGCAGCAGTCCATTAAATTAATTGATTGAACTTCAGGAATTTCTTTATTTATTGCTTGGAGTTTGAATTAGTTAACAACACTCGTAACTGCTAAAAATAAATGGAAGAACATTTTACAAATGTTTTAGAACATGTTTAAGAAATTAAATATTTGACAAATTTATATACAACACAGACATGGAATGACAAATTGAAGGTATAAGTAACAGAACGCTGCTAGAAACGAGCGTAGGGTTGTTGCAAATTTTGCATCTGTGTATTAATGTATGAATTATCTCATTCGCTCGTCAATCAACCCATTTAAAAACAGCTGAGAGAGAGAGAGAGAGAGAGAAGAAAGAGAGAGAGGAAAGACACATCATCGTGTGACATTATTAACCACAGATGTGCGTGTTTCCACCCATGCATACAATAACACTATCGCCGCATCAACATCATGACCGCTATCTACGTTCTTAATCAATCGCTATCTGCCAACTCATAAATAAACCTAATTTCGTACACCTAAGTCAACCCACATACACACCCACACACGCACGCACCCACATACACACCCACACACGCACGCACCCACATACATACCCACACACGCACTCACACACGCACCTACACACACACGCACACACGCACGCACACGCACACACACACGCAAACTTGTGTAAACACCGCATTTATACTTGAACGTGCCTTTGCTCGTAAATAAAAATAAAACACAACAGCACAAGCAAATGTGTTAATGTATGGCTCGGTTAACGTCTACAACGCATTTCGTTTAGACATCCGACTGATTTTTATTAGCGGTTCAATCCAATTTTTTCTGGTTTGCTGTTTAAATCGACTGCGAGCTTTGTTCAGTTTGCTTTACGATGTGGCAAAACCGTAAAAAATCTAATTTGAAACTTCTATTGTATAAAATGGCAAATTGTTTTTTTTCACAAAATTCGGTAGCCATTACATCAGTAAATTATTAATGAAACTTTCATGGAAACATTTTACTGTATGCTAACATGCTAACATTACATCACTTCCACTTCCACGCAATGTTTGCCCGCTTCCATCCGTCTATGTGGTAAGGGTCTACGTACATTTTCTCATTAAAAGCACTGGGTCCCAATGCTGTGGTGATAACAAAAGCAACAAAATACAACAACATAATGCAAGCGATATACAACAGCACACTGCAAGCAATATACAACAACACGCAGTAAACAATGTACAACAACACACTACAAGCAATATACAACGACACACTGCAAACAACGTACAACACAAGACTGCGCTCCAGACGAATCTACAGCAAACTTCTTGCATCATAAAATTGTTAAATTGCTTTCAAATTACAATAGCCGATCATTCATCACAGAACATGCACTGAAATCTTCAGTGGGCGGTGAACCACCCATTTGACCCACTAGTAGACTCGTGTCAGGGGTCACAACGGCCACACAAACGCCGATGAAACGCATGAACCACTTTTACGCGGTTCAAGTTGCAATGATAACCACTAAATTGATCTCACGATCTGAAAACCCTTTTTTCATTCATTCAATCTTTCACTTAGTTGCTCATTCTTCTACTGTTTTTATTTTTAATTTATTATTTTTTTAATTCATTCGTTCATTCATTCACTCACTCACTCACTCACTCACTCACTCACTCACTCACTCACTCACTCACTCACTCACTCACTCACTCACTCACTCACTCACTCACTCACTCACTCACTCACTCACTCACTCACTCACTCACTCACTCACTCACTCACTCACTCACTCACTCACTCACTCACTCACTCGCTCGCTCATTTATTCATTCATTCATTTATTCATCCATTCATTCATTCATTCAATCAATCATTCATTCATTTATTTATTTGTCACTCCTTTTCTAACTCATTTCTTTTCAGCCGTTTATACTTTAATCTTTAATTACCGTATTTGGTCTTTTAATAAATCATCTGCTAACAGACCTAACTTTCCAACTCATTCAATCTCTCCTTCATTTACTCACGCGTCTATTTATCCATTCATTCATCCATTAATTTATCCATTAACTCACTCTCTCATTCATTCATTCATCCATTTACCCATCCATCCATCCATCCATCCATCCATTCATTCATTCATTCATTCATTCATTCATTCATTCATTCATCCATTCATTCATTCATTCATTCATTCATTCATTCATTCATTCATTCATTCATTCATTCATTCATTCATTTATTCATTCATTCATTCATTCATTCATTCATTCATTCATTCATTCATTCATTTATTCATTCATTCATTCACTCATTCATTCACCCAGCCACAATGCATCATTCAATACAAACTAGCGGACCGGCGGGTATTATCTAACTGGAGTTTACAACAATAGCCACTAATAATGATGTATCTTTTATGTACCTGTTATGTTGTACAAATGCCTGCAACAAACATATTTTTACGTAATTATGGTGAAAATTATTACCAATAAACAACAACAACAATAATAATAATAATAATGAATTTTCTTTATTACTTTTATTATTACTCCTGTTTTTGTTGAAATCTCGAAATGGAAATGGAAAACAAATGCGGCCATTATTATGAAAGAGATAGAAAAGTTTAAAGTTCGAAAATGTTATATAAATAAATAAATAAATATATATATAAATATATACATATATATTAATAAATTATTTTTCGGCTTTAATGATGATGTTGATGACGTAATAATGTTTATGACGTAATGATGCGTGTGACGTTGGCAATGAAATGATGTCATTGACGTAGTGATATTGCTGGCGTTGATGATGTCATAATGATGTTTGTGACGTAATAATGATGATAAGGCAAATGATGTCTTTGACATATCATGATATCGCTGATGTAATGATGTTAATGATACGATAAAATATGATGATGCGCAAAGATGTTTATGATATCATGATGTTGGTAATGCGATTTCGCTGGTGATAAAATGATATTGGTTTGGTTGATGATGAAATTGTGCTGGTGGTGGCGTAGACATTTATAACGATGATGAAAGAATGTTCGTGACGTAATGAGGTCGATGATGTCATGATCATGATTTGTTGTTAATGATGTTGTTAATGATATTCATGATGTGATGAAACTGATGACGTTGATTTAGCAAGTGTCGCTCTAAGCAGAAAATACATGAAAGAACTATGACAATGATCGTGATGCATATAAAAAAAATAATTATTACTACTGTGGCTACTACTATTACTGATGCTTCTGCGGCTACTACAACTACTACTTTTACTACAACAACAACAACAACAACTACTACTACTACTACTACTACTACTACTACTGCTACTACTACTACTTCTACTACTACTATTATTATTATTATTACTACTACTACTACTACTACAACATCATCAACAACTACTACTACTGCTGCTGCTGCTGCTACTACTACTACTACTGATAATAATCTTCTTTCTGTCTGCTCTATCTCTATGGATAAAAAATAGTAGTAGTAGTAGTAGTGGCGGTGATAGTAGTAGTCGTAGTAGTAGAGATGATAACGACCACGAAAACGGCAGTGATGATAGTATGACGATATTTATGGCAGTTATGATAATGACGACGACATTTATGGTAGTGATGAAATAATGTAAAGATTTTTTTCCATATATATTTATAACTCGTAAATCGCGAAATAAATAAGTTGATTGTATCTCGTCGAGTCTCTTTATCTGCTCTCTCTCTCCCTCTCTCTCTCTTTCTTTCTCTTTCTCTCATTCTTTCTCTTTTTCATTTTTCTTTTTCTTTCTCTCCTTTTCTTTCTCTCTCTTTCTCTCTCTCCGACACCTCCAATTTTTTTACACTCTAATGCAGTTTTTTCTTTAAATTTTCGACTTTTGTTATGTTTTTAGCACAAAGATTGTGACGCGACAACAAATAATTTGTATCACTGGCAGATATTAATTATTCAATAAAATTTTTATGTAATGAATATGACTTGATGTTTTTCTATGCTGTTTTGTTAGTATTGCTAAGTATTTTACTTAGCAATTCATGACTTCATGAAACCAATTTTTTTTTCAAATTATCCAATTTTAAATCTATTTATTAAATTTTGTAAGTAAAATCTAAGTAATTGACTGGTACTATGTACTAAGTTTAAGTAGATATGTATGAGATTTCAACAAGTTAGAGAAAGAATAGCGGTTGCGTGTATACTTCTGTCAATAAACTCGCGAGTCACGGCGTTAAGCAAAGTAGTATTGAATAATAAAAACTGCTCATAAAAATTTCATATGACAGCATTTCCTTAGCCAAGCGTGCATATAGACCTATTCATCATTTCGAAGATGACAAACATAGCCAAACAATTTGGGGAAAAAACTTTGGGGAAAAATTGGTTGCCTTCCCCGTTCTGCAATCTGTCTGCATAATTTGATGACGTTGAAAGAATAGGGTCGTGCTAATATATCAATCAAACTGAATGGCGGTGGGTTGTTTGAATGTTACGCAGTAATTTATTAAATCACTGCATTCAACTGAATTATCCACATTCCTTTCTCCTATCTTATCATATAAACTTTCCTTTCATTTATTTGTTTTGTTTTTCTGTAAATTAATTATCATATTCATCGAAATTCAACTTTTCAAAAAACTTAATAAATAGAATAAAATATTAAATAAAATAATTTTACTGCCTAATTAACTTGGTTTCAACGACATATTTAACATAACAACAACATTGTTAGCCCATATTATGATCGCAGTGAAGGGCGTACATAAAATTTATATGACCAAACAATTGTAATAATACGTAATAAAATGACAAAAAACATATCATGGAAATAATGGAAAAAAAAGAAGGACAAAAAATGAGAAATGAAATTTGAGAAACCTTTCAATGGCGACGGCCGATAGAGTGTTGATGGATATGAGGATAGATACTGCTTGCATGTAGGGAATCACCTTACAGAGAAACCAGCCAAAATGCCATTCTAAGTTTGAATTTTTTTTAATTTAAATTTGATTTAAAGTTGGATTATTGAAGTTTTTTAAGTTTTTAGGTGAAATTTTACTGCGAAAGTTAAAATTTTTAGTGATGGTTGTGTAAATATTTCAAAATTTGAGATTTCAAAAGTGTTGAAAAGCTGTCTAATTTTTTATTCACGACGTATATCTAAACACGAAATTATAATTTAATATTAATATCCAATCATCTTTTCAATGAAAATTTTAAGAAACCTCCAAGAATACAAATATTGTTTTGTGACATTCATCAATCGATTCATGCGTGTTACAAATATAATATTTTCAAAAACATTAACCCAAGTTAAAAATACACATACACGCCAACCAACAGAAGTAGCTAATAAAAGAAGCAGAAAATTTAACATCGGAAGGAGAGGGAGGAAAAAATAAAATTGACCCCTCGGAGACAAACATTTCTTTGAAAAGAAGACAGGATAAACAAAAAAAACAGAAATGCAGAAAACAAACTCCACAAAGTACTACTATACATGCAAGAATAAACAAAATGAATCGCTTTTTTCCAAATTTTAAAATAAAAACACAATTTTCTTCTCACATGTTTAGCTCAGTCGGTAGAATTGCCGTGTCTCGGGCAGTTACGCGATGGCCTGGTTCGAATACTGTCAGTCCGAAACTCAAAGACTATCATACGCCATGCGCGTATGATACGGTGCTTGGGCGTGCATATTAATGTGTGTGCACGTCGTGTCGTGTCGTGTGCATGATACGATCTTTGTGGCACGAAGGTTTAAATACAGAGATGATATGTAAGTGGTTATGCGTATATCACAGCTGCATAATAAAGAACAAAATAAATATGTAACATTTCGAAGTATCGTATGTAAAAAACGTTCACTCATAATTAGCGCTATACAAGACTGACCGGTGAGAATATTTGACAGCAGAGTGAAGGGTAGAACAAGAAAGGTCACGAAAAGGTCAGCCGATGCCAAATTAGCGATGAAGTAATTGGTGACTGATTTCATCGGTGGAAATTTCTGAACGACAGTCAGTACGATGATGTTATTAACGAGGGCCAGCACGAAGATGATGCTGTACGCTATTGTCGAGATGGTGACGATGGTTATGGAGTGACTAAAAAATGGAATTTCAAAGTTTTTGTTGTTGTCGTTGTCGTCAATGATGATGTCTATGTTGCTGTTATAGCTGTTGCTAGTGTTGTAGCTGCTGATGTTGTCGTTGCTGAGGTTGAAGTTGATGATGCTCTCCGTTGAAATCATGTTGTTCGCTTGTGGATGTTGTTTAGTAGATGCTTTGGATGCTGCAGTCAATGCTTACTTCAATAATTATGTTGCAGTTGTTAATGTTAATGATGATGCTGCTATTGTTTTTGTTGTTGACGATGATAAGTTGCTGATGTAGTGTCATCGACCGGCGTCCTTGCTACCGTTCCAAACATTTTTCTGCATGTTAAAAGAAGAAAAAAATCTGTTTAATTAGATTCGAAAAAATGTTGATTGCTATTTGAACAATGCCAGAGTCACATTGATTGATTATTTTTGCCTCTCTCTCTCTTTCTTTTTTATGCAAGTATCATGTATATATAAATCATTGCGTGTGTGTGTGTGTGTGAGTGTATGTATGAGTATGTGTATGTGTGTGAGTGTGTTTATGTGTATGTATGTATGTATGTTTATATATGGCGAGTATCCAAAAGGTGTATTCGTACGTATACATCTTTGTGCAGGTGTGTGTGTGTGTGTGACTATGTGTGTGTTTGTGTTTGTGTGTGACTGTGTGTGTGTGTTTGTGTGCGTGCGTGTATGTGCATGTATGATTGAACTGCATGTAAGTTCGTTATAAGTGTGCGTATCTGCGTGTACGTGCGCACAGATGGGAATAATTTTCCATTTTTTAACATCAGAGCAAATTATTTTCAAATATTCCAGTTGACTTGCCTTATCTCTACATTCCCATCATAACCAATAACCATCACCATCCTCTTTTTCTTTGTGTGTGTGTGTGTGTTTGTCTGTATTATTAACTTTTATTATTTAAAACATTTATGAGCATTTTTTTTATGAGATGATATACGTTGGATAAATTTCAACACGCTAAACAGTTGTAACGTAACGACAAAATAACCATAACTTTCGAGTTTCTAATGCAATTAGTTTCACACGATATTATCTCAAACATTACAAAAAATGATTTCATCAGAATATATAAATCATATGAGTGGATTGCTTCTTTGTTGCTACGTTGTTCATGATATCTTTTAAAGACGAGAAAATTTTGTGTCCTGCTTGGACAAAAAAGTAGATATTAATTTGAAAAAAATTTCAATTTATATAAATTTATTCTTAAACCACAAAATAATTCCATCAATATTAAATAATTTTGTTCAAAAAATTTGATCATGAAAAATCAGTAAAAATAAAAGCCGTATCATGAAATTGCACAAAAAATGTATCATTTTATTAATTCGTTTTTTTCTGATTAAACCTTATAAGATTTTGTATAAAATTAATTAAACAGTGTAAATATTAACGGGATGGATGGGATGGATACGGACATCTTATTGTTAGTGCGTACATAGGCGAGGAAAAACAATTACTTTATCCACATCTGCTCAGAACTGAAGCGTATCTCAATCCAATCTTGCTTGCAGAAGCACGAGCAAGCAATTCTCCCACGGAGAATTTTCAATTTAAAAAATTGTGTTTAACCCATTTTAGCCTCTGATAAATTACGGCGATGAATGTAAAAGGTTTTCAATAAATTTTACATAAACAAAATTTATTTTGCCGAATGTGGACCACAATTATAAAACTTATTTAGTTAACGTGCACATACACGTAACATACACATAAATTATGTATTGAAATAAAAACCAAAATGTTAAAAAATACTACCAGGGAAGGATGTAGAAAAAATAGTTGTAGAAGAATGATGCGAAAGTGTTATTTAAAAATCCTTAACTCTTCTCCATCATGAAGCGATAGACAACGTGGTTGGGAAGTTATTAAGGCAGATAGGTCCATCAGTACACAAACAACATCCACAGCCTCATCAACAGCACCGTCTAGAAACGAACAACGTCAACATCATTCTCATCATAAACGTCATAAGCAGCTATTATAACATCGTCATCATTAAAACCATCATCATCAAAACAACAACAACATCATCATCATCATCAACATTATCATCATCATCATCAACAACAACAACATCATTATCATCATCATCATCAACAACTACAACATCATTATCATCATCATCATTATCATCATCATCAACAACAACATCACCATCATCATCATCGATCGTGAGAGTTCAAGGTTTTCAGTATTTGGCTTATCTCTGATCGACCCTGCTCACCTTGTCAACATTGCAGCCACATACATTTGAATTTAAACCAGGCCAGCGAACAACATGACTGTCACAGCGTATGTTGATTTCGGAAAAAAAATACCACGTAAAAAATGGTTCGTAAAAAATATTTTCCTCACGTGCATGAAGTCGGATATGAGCAGTTGATTTAACTTATTGAAATTTCTGAAAATAAGTTCGGTCGTAATTGACACAGAAGTTGTGCTGTTGGAGGTCGAAAGATTATTATTGTTAGAAAATTTAAAAAAACACAGACAGGTCCAGCAATCAATCGGTCAACCATTGTATTTTCATCTGATTGGATGAAATTAGTTCTGTTTAATTGCACCGTTTCACTGATGTTTTTTATTTGATGGACGTGTCAGATAAAAGATGTTGTTGTTGTTGTTGTTGTTATAAGGAAAATGTTTTCAAAACAGTCGAATCACGTCGTTTAGTCTTTAACTAATGAACTTTTCATTAAAGCGATGCATTTTTTAATGATGTTGTTAAAGTGGGTTGCACGCAGGCTCCATTAATGAAATTCTATGCGTGATCCAACTTTTGTATCGTCGAAGAAATAGCTCGCTGTGTGCTATTAAAAGGTGAAAAGATTGCGCAAAGAAATAATTTAATAATAAAATAACTAATTATTTTTCACTTGTGCATTAATATAAGTCAAGTACAATCGAATTTATAATCAATTTAACAAAATTGTTTAACCATTAACTTCAATTCAATTTTATATATTGCAAAAGAGGCCGGGAATGTTGAACTCTGATTGAATTGAATTTCATAACAACATTCTAGGTAATGATAAGACGAGGTAATAATATTGTGATTTAATTTTCTGTTCTTGCCACGAATAAAAACAAAATAAACTAGAAGCCAAAAGCAAATTTGTTTGGAAATTATTTATACTCTATCAATCAATCATTCATTCATTCATCCATTCATTCGTTCGTTCGTTCGTTTGTTCGTTCGTTCATTCATTCATTCATTCATTCATTCATTCTTTCTTTCTTTCATTTATTTAATCTTTCACTCAATCTTTCATTCATATACCAGACCATTTCTTCCATCCATCATTCATTCATTTAGTCATAATGGAGAAACAACAATGGGCACTATATGATTATCACAAGCAGGAAAGAAAGGCTAATAAAAATGGAATGGATATTTTGACGTTCGCATAATGCAGTCTTACGCGCGTACCATGCAATCTTTATTTAAATAAGTTCTATTCTTTTTTTCTGTCGTAATCCCACATTTTAAATCTTTTTCTCGGTTTAGGTTTTTTGGTTTTCTAATTTTTCAAAATATTTTTGTTTATTATTATTACTACTATTATTATCCTCTACCCGTCTGTATATTTTTAAGTTACCTGCAAAATTCATTAAAAATATTGACATTCCGAAGATAAATACCAGTGGAATGTTGACGTCAGGGTTATTAATTATTTCCTGCTAATCTATGACACACACCACGCACACGCACACACAAATAAATAAACACACACACACACAAATAAACAAACAATCAAACCCACACAAACACATATATACATACTCATAACACACAAACAAACACACAAACATACACAATCATACTGCCTCAGATACATGTTTTTCGCTGATTTGTAGCATTACATACCGGTGGCCTATTAAAAGATCTTAAAAAACATATTGTAGATGTATTGAAACCAAAGAGTTACCAGAAAAAAATAATTAGTTCTTTTCGTTTACTAGAAAGTTACAATTTTTTTCTTCCTTGTTATTTGACGTTTTCGCGGAACAATTAGAGTAGAATGCGTTTTTTTAAAATCATTAATCAGTTTTCAAAAGCTTTATTTTCGCTTAATTTTGTGATTCTGAATTTAATTTAAAAAAATTTATACTTTTTTGAAGTAAACTCATTAGTTTTAAGTTGAAAAAAATTAATTTTTTGTCTTATATTACTTCAAATTCGAGTTTAGTTGAAACCTTTCAGATCAATATATTTTTAAATAATGACATTTATTTCGAATGGCACATTGAATTTCAAAATTTGTTCTAGATGAAACGTTCCTGCAATAATCTTATGAGTAGGACTTGGAAAATATTTCATAAGAAAAAAAGCGCAAACAAAAATTTATAACTGCGGGTTTAAAAATTTTCATTTTTCATACTGAAATCCCCAGAAAAAATTTTTTTTTCAAGATTGATTTTCCAAAAAATTTAAATATAAAAAACCATTTTATATTAAAGTATATTAAATTTATTTTAGTAACTGTTTCACATTATTAAAAATTTAAACTAAAAAAAATATGAAAAAGTGTCTAACTTTGATATGATCTAGGCTACCTTCAAACCAACCACTTGTCACCACAAAACTCAATTTTTCCTCAATAAAAATTTCATCTACGTTTACAAGCGTGGTTTTATTATATTAAGTATTGTACTATTATTTTATTATTAATTTATTAATGTATTAGTACATTATGAATATAATGTTATTATTTTAAAAAATAAACTGTATTTTATTTAGAAACACCACAAAATAAAAAAATTTTGCGTAAAAGATTCTAATATATAATATCCAAATTTAACATTCAGAAACTATTCAAATTATAAAAAAGAATTAATTTAAATTTTTGACGCTTAGGTAAACTTACATTATAGCATGGCACGCAAATACAGATAAAACAGGCAGTTGTAACGTTAACGTGGAAAGAAATATCTTCCCAGCAACAATACCAAAACTAACTTAGTCCGATGTTTTTATATGGAGTGACAAAAGGACTCATTACAACATTGAATGTATCAGTGTGTGTGTGTGTGTCCGTGTGTGTGTGTGTCCGTGTGCGTGTGCTTGCGTGCGTGTGTGGACAGCACATAATGCAATATATTGTACACGATGTTGTAGTTTATTTTCTGTTATAGACGACTTAACACATTTTTATGTAAATGTGTGTGTGTGTATGAACATGTATGAGTGTGCGTGTGCTCTGTGTGTAAACATATACACACACCTATATCACTAAAATGTTTTTATAATGTATATTATATATGTATAAAGGAACACACGTACCGTAAAATTTTATATATTGATGTATCATGTACAATGTTTTAATAATAATAATATAAATATTTGTTTTATAAATGCTAAAATGTTATAAAGTTAGTAATCAATAAAAGCAAACAAAAACAAATAAAAACAAAACTATAATAACATTATGGAGTAATGAAAGCTGAGATGGAGTGCTATGCAACATAAAGCCAAATTTTATCGCACCTTACAATACCATACTATACTATAGACCCTTTAGTCCATAAAACGAGCAAATGTAAGAAACATGGGCAACTCATTATTAAAGAAATACTCCTTGGAAAATGCCTTGAACATCTTGATTAAGAAATAGTTACTAACATTACTTTTACATTGAGATATCTTTGTATTGTTTGCATGATCTTATGGTATTTCATTGTGTGTATGGTATTTCATTGTGTGAATGGTATTTCATTGTGTGTATGGTATTTCATTGTGTGTATGGTATGGTATGTGTAGGGTCCTGTGTTGTCATAGTGACTAGGTTACAATGCAATGAAGTACTTGCCGATCACATGTGTGTATGTGGTGTGTGTGTTTTTTGTGTGTATGTGTGTGTGGGTTTGTGTGTATGTGTGTGTATGTTGGTGATACCTCCGAAAATTAAGTGAAAAAATGGTCTCGTGTAAGGTATTTCATTGTATGTATGGTATGTTGTAAGGGGTAACGTGTATATGCATAGGCAAGACACGCCTATCGTACATACCTGTCTTATTTATGACTAGTGCTGCTTAGATGAAATGTAATCATGGTTGAACTTCAAAGACGCCATCTAATCCCACGTCCGAATTAATGATGAAAATCATGCAAAATTCAAAATTATGTCTAGCTTGGTGCCTAAGAGGCTTTGTTAAGTTTGGCCAAAAAGTTCAAATTGGAAAAATTTTTCAAGCTCGTCTATTTTCGACTTATTGGAGGTTTTTTAGGAAAAAATTGTTAGGATGGTTAATTTCTTATTGTTTAGAAAGAATAAAAAATAATTACTTAGATTGTTATGACAGGCTGCAATTTATACCATGCTTAACTATGTAATAACACTAAAGTTGGATAACTCTAATGACTGCTACTTGTATTTTCCAAATTAATAAAAACTCTATAGAATCTTTAAATAGAACAAAATAAACAAATAAACGTCATATACGTTGGGGTTAATAATCTAAACATGCCTGAAAATTGAACACAAAAATATAGATGGAGATTCCGTAAAAACTTATCCGATAAATATGCCCGCCAGAGCATGAACAGATAAAAAGACGCACGCATAATTTTTTATATCCATATACAATATATTTATGTATGTATTATTTGGTATTTATATTATTACATGTTTGTATATATTCAGTATATAACCTTATGTATTAATATTTATATATCGATTAATGTGTGTCCCGTTTAGAAAGATTTTCAAACCAGAGTATCATTGAAAAATGTCATACCCTATTTGACTATATTGATGAAAAAAAAACATATTCAAAATTTTTAAAAAATGTCACTGTTAAATATCTATGCAGTTTTTAAGACAATCACCTGCTTTGTTACCATGGCAACGTGATTAGATTCACCTGCATGCTTTATATATTCTTTACATTTACAGTCTGTCAAACCGTTTCACTGAAATCTATGCTATATTATTTGTATGTACTTTATTGTTTGAGACTTTTTATGTGTTCATTGGTTTGTACGTTTGTTGATTAGTTAATTAATTCGTTTATTTATTCTGACTGGAATGAAATTATTATTATATTATTAACATTAAGATTAAATTATTAAAAGATTAACTATACAGTTAGATTAGAGTTATACACATAGATGGCAGATAGCTAACGCAACTTAGATTTAGAGTATTTTCTAATCCCTCTATTTTTTCTAACATTTAATTAAAAGCCGTTATATGTAATTTTGTAGCTCATCATTTTTACATTTCAAACGTTTATAAGAGTTTAGGCCTTTAGGGGAAGTCGAAATAAATAAACGTAGAAGGGTATTAACGCATTATTCCAGGGTAATGCATTTGTGTGATTGTGACATGCGCATCAGAGATGAAGGAAGTATTGCAGGTCTAATTGAAGAGATCAAAATGTAATTTCAGTTAGCTACGTCTCTTTTTTTTCAAATTATTTAAAATATGTCTAAACAAGCTTTTTTGTAATTTTAAGGTTGAAAAAAGATCTCAACAATTTCAAAAGTTCAACTAACTCAGCTAAGAACAAATATAGATTTCTAAAACAAGGTGACATTTAAAAATTATTCCTCACCAAATCCATACATAAACACGCCAATCAACCTTCGCAGACTACATCAAACAGATGAAAATGTGCTATAACGAGCTTAAAAAGTACCAAGCTTTCATGAATAGCTTCATCGAACGAGTGAGTAGTAATTAGCTTTTATAATGGAATATTCATTCATTTAAGTAACAAAATTATAATTTAGACTGAGAATCTCACTCAAAGCAGAAACGTCATGCACCCATCATTCTATTGCCAACCCACTCACTGCTGTGAAAAAATCCGTCAAGATTGCACACATGATGGATGTTCTATTAAAAACGAACGCCATTATCTGAAGTGTCATTCTCTTCGCCATTGTTGTAACACTACTTCGCCGAATGGCCATACAGACATGGTTAAAAATATTTACTCTCAGCACGATATAGTTTCTCCAATCAAAAATTATGACGGCTGTGTGCGATCTCCATCAAGTTTGACGTTCTATTTATTTATCTATAAGAAGTTTTTTATATTTGCCATATTTATTTTATAATAATTTCTATCTATATAATTTTTAGTTTTTAAAGCGTTCATTTTAGAATCAGTAGTTTGTAGTAAATTGTGTGATTAAAATCCTTTTTGAAAATTAAACTAATTTATGTAAATGCGTCAGATGAAACTTTGCACTGAAATATATAATCAATAATATTCAATTAGGTAACCTACCAAAAGAAGAAACATTTGTAAAGAAATTGTAAGTGAGATGCCTAGTTATTTGTACATTAGCATTTTTGTAATTATTTATATCGGTGGAGTGAGAAAAAATCGGTTATAAAAATCCTAATCATGAAATTCTACGTTCTTATATTATGCAACAATTTATCTAAATGATTTTGCTCATGATGGCAAATACTCATGTAGAGTAATTTCATCATTTGCCACATGCTGAAACGTTTTTGGCTAATAAATTTGAAATAATGTTTTTAGAGATTTTAAAATGTTTTTTAAATAAAACCTCGCTCCTCGATAATTGTTCAAACGCCGAATCAGAATGTTTCAACGTTTTGAATTAATTGTTAAAAATCTAATAAATGTGATTAATAACTTACGATAGAAACCAGAATAAAAGATATTCGGAAGATTTCATAGAACTCCTCATACATAACTATCCTGACGGTGACGAGCATGCCGAAGAACGAGAAGACAACATCAACGAAAACGTTACAACTCATTTGCCAAATAACCATGGAAGAGAAATCAAGAGCAGATTTTATGAAGAGAACGTTATTCGAGACTTATTTTATATCTTGTAAACAATGGATAAAAATTTATTAATTTTTTATATGTTTTCATCAGTTCAACCTGGGCTGTATACACACACTGCTGTAGTTTAGTTTTCATAATGATTCACATGTTATTTTTCTACGCGTATTAAACGGAAGACAGTTAAAGCCTCTAAAATTTACTTTCAAATAACTAAGTTATGCTTTGTTGAAGGCAAAGCCAACATGTTTAGAAGCAAAGCACGATTTTAATTAGGAAGCAACACGCATGTCGATAAATTTTATCACTACATAAGTAGGCCTAAAAAACAAATGTTAGGGTTAGGGTTCGAATACATCTTTAACCCAAAACTTCGTGAAAAAGTTTCGCAATTGAAAATTGTTGAGCGGACACAAATTTGCATATTTATTTATTTTTATATATGAATTAATTAGGCTGGCACACGCAGAGGTGTTCACATTTCCGTTCTCAGTCGTAATGTAGTGGGCACGTTCTCTATCACTAATGCCTAATTTATGTGCGTACTACGGAATGTACGCAAAGTCTGTCTGATCGCATCACGCTTCGGGGCGCTTACGTTCTTCGGGTTGGCACATGTGGCGTTAGTCAGAGGACTATTGTTCATTAAAATTTATGCACACGATACGCGTGACAACGTGGAGTCCGGGTTGTCCTGCTTTTAAAAAAAGATTTACTAGTATTAAATTTGATTTCATGAAGACTTTTTGAACGCGCAAAATATCTATAAAATCATTTTATCCCACTAGTTGAACATAAACCACTAACTACTTTCTGGCGCCTTTCAGTACCTACATTAAAATAAAATTTAGTTATTATACATACTACGGTTTATCTTGTAGATAACTCAGTAAATTAACGATGGGTTCTATGCGACACCATTTTCTACTGTAGCAGTCCTCAAACAATCTAAAAATTGTCTTCACCCAAAACAGGAGATTCGCGAGTTAGATAAGATGACCCAGAAGCCATCCGTCACGTCGTCGCTATCGTGTGTTAACATGTTGCTTAAAAATTACAACTAAGATTATTATCATGCATCTTGTGCGCGCGATGTGATGCTTACATTGCACACAAATATGAACGCACATTGCGAAGCAGGATCAGCCCTTGTGCCACAAAAGCTTTACTTGGGTTTAATTAAAAAGTGTACGTTCACAACTTTTCGTCGCATACCATAAATAAGTTATGAAATAACAATATATAGCTCATAACTAACAACCACAATTATTAATATATGATTTGATTTTTTGTTTATTTTCAATTACGTTTTATAGATGGCAGATTTGTTTGGCCTATAAAGCTTGGACTTCAAGTTTTATTATAAATAAATAAATGCGTGTTCGTTTCGTTGACATTGAAATCTCTGCTGAAGATAACGGAAAATAACGTCACGTAAATTTATCCTCGAAATTTTACCGAGTGGCGAAACAAATAACTGTACATTTACAGTAAGTTTGTTTAATAAATAAAAGAGAAAGTGTTGTCGAAAGACTGACCCGAGAAATTGATTTCTTCATTCTTCAAACCGTGATTTCTCCTGGCATCAATGAAAAACATAATAGAAACATATTACAGAATAATTGAATAATTTGATCAAAATATTGACAAAATTGGCAGATGAATTTTCGTTGATTCCTTTGAAAAAAGTTGTCACATCAACCTGCACTCAGGGTTGAGACATAGGAACAAAGACAAAAACTTGATTTTAGAATAGAAAAGATGTGCATTTATTAAATCAATACAACATTTTGACCGCGGACAAGAGAGTGGGAAAAGGAAATAAAAGAAAGCAATCAATTTTTATTGTATAAAAATGTACAATGCATTCTTCGCACACATACAAACGCAGGCGAACGGAGGTACGGACAAACACATACACACACAAACACATACATACACACACACACAAATATATACAGTGCATCTAAAATCTTCTGCGTTCGTGTCCTAGTGCAGTAGGCGAATTACCGCATTAAATAAACGACAAATAAAAAAAATAACATCATTCAGTGTACTTTTTATTTTTAAAAATCATTAGTGAAATATATTAAAAATTTCGTCTGCACACAAACCTACATGTTGTTATGAGAGATAAAAAATCTATTATGAAAATAAAAAACTTTGAATTGATGCAAATCAAATGAGCCTAAAATAATAATTGATCAGAAATTAATCTAATAAATCTTTCATTAATGAACACAATAAAAACGTGCCGAGAATGAATGAATGCCGAGACATCTAGAATTAATCATCCTTATCACATTAATTATTACCAGCCTGTTATTACCAGTCAAAATAAAATTTTCTAATTTTGATAACGATAGCTTCAATAAATTGAAGACCATAAATATACTTGTACTTGCAGAAATATACACAGACACAGTAATGAAGCATTGCTTACTAAACAATCTAATTGTTTATTTTTAAATGAATGTCATCACACACGCCTGCAAAGTGGCCATAAATATCATCTGATAGATAGACTTATGAAACAAAATTTTATATTTATTCTCTGGTTTAAAAGCCATTCACAGTGAAATCGAAAAATACACTAATCGGCGATAATTTAATCTTGATGTAAGTGTACGTGGAAGAAGTTACTTAATTGATGTTCAACGTACATAAAATGCACATTTTGCAAAAAACTCACTCGCTCCGAACGCTTGCAAAACCCACAAGTACACATTACATAAATACATACTATACGCAAGCGCACCGACTCGCAAACGTAATACAAATATATGTATATTTATACACGCACAGATATATATATATATATACACATATTTATTCATATTTATTACAATAAATTAAAGAAAAGAGCTTTATTGACAACGACATTCTTCAAACAATTTAACGCAAGAAAGTGATCATAATATTAGTTATGAATTTTGATAGCTTTCTCGATGCTGTATTTGTTGTCCTTGGGCGTTTTATTTACATGATCGAGACCAAGCCAGGGGCGCGAACCTTGGCTTCCAGGGTTGCCTGCATTTTGTAAAAATTTATCAACTGGAGAGGAAATAAATTTTAAAGTAATTCAAAATGTTATAACCATTTACAAACAAAATCTGACTCTTCAAAGTTGTTGAGTTTGATGTAATTTTTTTTTTAACTTTTATAAATATAAAGCGTAGATGAGACAGTGATTGAGATGTATTATTGTATTGTATATGTTAACTAACCGGCGTGTGCAGCTTGAAAATCTTCAGCCTTTACAATTTCATCCTCTGCAACATATCGATGTCTTCCCATCACGACAATCGCTAGTTTGAACTTCAGAAATTTGATAAAATATTATAAAATAACATCTGATTCTAGCAACTCAATAATTAGAAGAAAGACGATGGCATAGTTTTAAAAGATTTTAGATAAATAAGTTAGAAATAAAATGTAACCAGAGCATTCAATCAGTGTTTATAAATTGTTAAAGGAGCAAAACATTAAAAATACCTTTTCAAATTCTTTATCAGGTACGCCTAACTTCTTCTGTATTCTTTCCTTCACCTTACTGAATGGTTCTTTCTGAGAATTTTTAACAACAAACAAATATTGAACCCACCACAAAACCCAAAAAACTAGCAATAAAAAAATGACTCATCAAATATTTCTACTAACATTTTTTAGATGTATGAAGAACGGAACTCCAAACGTCGAAAAGATTTCCTGTTATTTGAATGTACCAATTTCAATATTATAATTAATTACGATATGTTAATAGAGCAAGCAATCAAATGTTCTGTCTATATTGAAAAATACGACAAAAACTTAGGATAGCAAGTAAATTTCTCATTTTGTGTCAATCTCTTAATAAAAAAATTTATTTTGATGGTAACATTATAAATTAATTACAATTGATTTGTCGAAAATAAAACGAATCCCGACTTAAATAAATTAACTCTGTAATATCCAGTCAACTCGGAAGTAACAAAATGCAAACTTTAGAAAATCAACTTCATGAATTATTGAACTAATTAAAGGACAAGAAAAATATATATTATTTACACTTACATAATGCATCACATCTACATAATGCATCACATTCATATTTACATAATGTATCACATTCCCGTTTACATAATGCATCACATTCACATAAACAAGCCTTGTGGAAATGAGCTACTGGAACAATAAATTCATCTGGGGCAAGATTCATCTCCTTCATTGAGATTTCATCAATGCGGTAGACTTTTGCACTGGTTGTGTTCAAGCAATCAAGCAGCGAATCATCCTTCTCCTCTTTCATTATTTTGTATGAGACTATATCCAACAATCTGTACGGTAATTTCAATACAACTTTTAATTAACTAATTAACATTTAGTTGATTTATTAAAGGAAACATAGGCTTGAGAGTAGAAAAGAATCACAATAAGAAAGAAAAAAAATTTAATGCATTAAAAATGAATTAACTAGCTCTAGTAAAACTATTTAAAATAAAATGATTTCAAGTGGAGATCTCACCTCAACTTTCCCGAGCCATGTTCATGCAAATGAATATGCTTCCTAGCTTCATCCAGCAGATCCTTCACACAGCCATTCTTGTTTGGGTACAGAACCAATTCTTTCTTTTATGTGCAAAAAAATATAATCAAAATTTTATTAAGGACCCAATGAACTTATAATAAATAGCATCATTGTTGTTATTGATTACCTAACTCTGACGAACACGAGGCTGCTTACATATCATCCCTTGTTTACCAGCATGGTGCACAGACATACTTTGCATGCATGTGCAAGCATTCACAGAATTAAATTTCAAACACAGGGCATTCAAACCAGGTTATTGTGCAATAACAACAACGTGAGACAAAACTTCTACCATCTGAGCTAACTCAAAAACTAGCGGTGAAAGCATTTTACAAAATATGCTGAAATCAACTGATAAATAATTAATATAACTATCAAAGTATAATCATCAAATATAAAATAGTTTAAATGAAAAAAAATTTTCTTACATCTTCTTTGGTAATATGGTTGAACCAGGAGCACTTGAACTGTTTCTTATTTTCCAGCTCATCAATTCTTATACTCAGCTGTTGGTGAATTGAACATAAATATCACTTTTGGTAGTAAATCAAATTAATTATCAATTAAAAATATAAAGAGTACGCCAAGTGAAACGAAAACGAATTAAATATTGATGAGAAATGAAACTGAAACAAACCTTCTGGTAGTATATTTTTTTTTGTTGCTTTGGTTTAAATCCTTGAAAGATGTCCTTCAAGGCACCTTCATAGCCACATTTTATGGAGTTGCCAGGAGAATCTCTGTAGCTGTGGGCCATTCAATACAAATTTTTAAATATAATAAATCCATAATTTGAAAATGATCTGCGAATGTAACTTAGCATACCCTTGAGATTTGAAGAACTGCAGCATGTATGGATCTGTGTTGAGGTACTCGGCCACGGCATTCGCCATCTGATCATAGTTCATCTTCAAGGAAAGCTGGAGTGTGAAGCCGGGGTCATTTGGAATGAGGCGATCGCAGAAGGTTACTTCAGTACGATTAAATAACTCCCTGCCATGTTTAGGAACATCTTACATTTTGAGTGAGAATAACTAAATAATTTACTATTAAAAATAATTTTTCATCTCATAAAATTTTTAAGAAATACAAAATTCATAAAAGAAAAAAAATTGAGTAGATTTTTTTACTTGAAATATCCTTTTGCATTGGCATATTCGTCTTTAGAGTTAAGAGCTTCTTGATCAGCTTGTTGGAAGACAAGTATATCCCCATCCATCAACTCATCCAGCGTCTTCTCTAGTGGCCTGTCCAAATGAGCAACCTCTTCAACCATACCAGGCTTCACTTCCTGGTGATTTCAATTGAAAACCTTTAATACAGACTACAAAATTGCACGAATGCTTATTTCAAAGAGGCAAAACACAACGAAAAAAACCAAAACCTCAAACAGTAGGATTGGAGTACCTGGTTCCATGTGACCTCGCTCCCATAATATCGGCAACAATTTTTCATCTGAATAAGTTATAGTTTAATAACATTGAATAAAATTCGTTGTTTAAAACAGAAAAACAGTACAAAGTAAAAGTAGCAAGTCAACTGCTCAAGTAAAAAGATAAGAACAAATTAAAAAAAAATATAAAATATTTATTAGAGAAGAACGAGTACGCACTGATAACAGCATTGATTGGCATATATACATGTTGACAGTAGGTGATGCTCCTTGTTTTGCGATCATACTTCTTTAAAAATAGCAGCACATCATCTGAAAAAGGAAAAGCAGGTATTTCTGGTGTTATATTTTTTAAAACTCAAACTAAAATCATGACCATGAATGAAAGAGTAATAGAAATATTTTTAAAATCAAAACAAAATGATATGATCAGCACACACGCGCAGACACAATTGAGACATCAGGAGTATCAAAAACTTAAAATAACAGCAGTAATTAAACTTCAAGTATAATGAGTGAGGACTGACTTTCCTTCTCAAAGTGAGGCAGTGATGGAGCAGGAGCACCAGGATTAACAGTCTCGATGAACACAGTCCACGGATTATCATTCTCAGCTATTTCATGGATCTAGGCATAGAAATTTCATTTAAAAAAAAAATCCAAATTAAAAGCTTAAAATCATCAGTGACGTTGTGCTGTACAAACTTACAGATCTGTGCTTTTCATGTTCAATGTCAATGGCAACGGGTCGGAAGGTTAAATTGGTCCTAGCGTTGAAGGGCCACGGGCGTATTTGTGATACGGAAAAATTCTGCAGTAAACGAATGGTGTGATTAAAAGTTAAATTAGAGCCTAATCAATTAATTACATTCTTGCTGTTGTCACAAGTACATGTTATGTTTATAATATCAAGTGTTCTCGTAAATACTGCATTCATTGTGCTGTTGAAAGATTTTTTGTGAAGAGCCTCTTACACATTTTACATTTATTTTACAATGAAACGACTGAATATAAATAACCTAGTCGAAAGTATTAAATTATGAAAAATGTAAAATAAGAAATAAATTAATAATAATAATAACCAGACTAGAGGCGATGATATTAAGGAACTCTAATAAGGAAGCTGTCTTTTTAATTCGGAATATCCTGAGAGTATTAGTTGGAAATTAACTGTTACGTCATGTTACATCAATTAAAAGGTAGTAAAAATTGTAATCTAAAATATTTGGCCAATGGCAGAACGAAAATTGCTATAAGAAATGTGAATGTAAAAACAAAATGTCAAATAAATGACAAAAAAAAAATAATTTTCCAAAAAACAAAATAGCAAGACAGCTGAGAGAAACCTGTAGTGTACGTGATCTTGATCGAAGAGATCATTTCCTTGGTGACCATCGAATGTATCCTCAAGCAGAACTTGTACCTGCATGTACAGATGCGCTTCTGTGCGTTCCTTCCTTTTCAGGGCTTCCTGGTTCCTGTTTGTTTATTTGTTTTTTTCCTTTTCTTTGTTTGTTTGTTTGTGGTAGGTTGTTTGGAATCATGTTACACTGTATTGTGTGAAATTACTTTGAAGTGTGTTGTTAAGAACAATGTTTTGTGAAATTGTGTTGCACCGTACTGGGCTGCATTGTGTTGTGATTAAAAGATGCCACCATACTCAAGTTTTATTTTACAGTAAAAAATAACGATTAAAAGGTTCACATTCATTTAATTCATTGCTATGGTAAATATCAACTTTATAATAATAAATTCGAGCAAATTTATGTATTTAAATACACACACACACACACACACACACACACACACACACACACACACACACACACACACACACACACATATATATATATATATATATATATATATATATATATATAATTAACAAACTTTTCTTCAAGTAATCTGCTCTTCAAGGATTCAGGAATGTCATCTTCACTGATCGGAGCCAACACTGTTTCTGGTTATAATAAGGTTAATAATAATAATCCAATGATGAATATCAAACAAAACAAAATATAACTGAAATATGAATTAACTAAAATATAATATAACGTAAAGTTATCACATAAACATCAATGTCAGAACATTACATTTGATGACTATTTAATAATCTGTAATAACTTTTGCCTAGTACTAACCAACATGGGATTTCCTGATGTAGACCAGCATATAAGCACTGGTACACTGTCTCATGATAACTTCATCCTCTTGGCCTCCAAAGTTCTGCTCGATGGCTTCATTCTTCTTACATCGCGACACCACATCGTCATCAAATTTAAACCACAACTGTCATATTATTTTATGTCAACTTTTTATATTTTAATTGCAAGGTATCAGTGTTGCAAAATGTGTTTAAGTTTTGGAAACAAATTCATATACATTATTAAACTAATTTTTCGTATGTATAATTATTAATGATATAACCTAAAAATTCTCCCCAAAGAAAACAAGTTTAACAAAATGAGAAAAAAAGTAAAATAAGCAAAAAATGGAAGAACAATAACCTTGCCATCTCCTTTAGGATTGATGTAGACGACGTAATGGCCGCCGTGGTTGTCGCCACTGTGAACAAGGACAGCATGCAGGACATAGTCAGCAGGATCCTTGGGATTTCGTTCCTGTGGCTGCAAGTATTCATCCAACTGCAACAACTCGGGAAACTCAAACCTTCAAATTGGAAAACGGTATTGTAGGTAAAATGTTAAACTTACTTCTTTTCATTTCTTATGATTAATTCTACAGCAAAGTAGTATCACATAGCAATTCAGCAACTTATCAAGTCATTAAACTATTTTATATAAGAGAAAGTAATATAATGATAACTCTTGACAATGATAAAGAAGGTAATAATAATAATGATGATAACAACAACAATTAAAACGCTATCATCATCAACATTATCCTCCTCATCCTCGTTAATATCTCTTTAATTATTATTAAAATGGTTATAATTATAACAATGGAAGTAACCTGTCGTTGACTTTGACATTGTTATCAGTCATGGGATCATATTGGAACCTCATGAGCTGCAGGTGCAGAACGGGTGGAAACGATATGAATATCACTCCTTTCTCAGCTTCCTGGTTTGCAAAATAATTATCATGTCAGTTATAATTTACATAATTATAATATAATAAATAATAAAGTTATTATTGCTTAGTTATTGTCACGCATTAATATCATCATCATTAATATTACAATTCTGAATGAACTGTAATATCCTAACAGAATTATCTGGTAAACCATAATGCACACAGTTGCAATGAGCGCCAATCCTTCCATTGCACTTTTACTCAAGAATTATCATCATTCCTTGTAGTTCAGCAGCAAGCAGCTAATAGCTTGATACGACAAACAAACGTTGATAATTTCTAGATTAGAAGCGTTAGTACAAAACTCAATATTGTGACCCTCAATATGAACTGAGAGTTTTAACTCTCAACGACTACCATGCGCCGACTTGCATCATTTTAGTTTTGCATTGGTTAAATCTCAGCCCATTTAAATATACAATATATACTTAGGTTGCCAAAAAACGTTATATTAGTTGTATATGAGAATTTTATTTGGCTATTTCTGTAGCAAAAACAGAACTGAAATAAATAAATAATTAACATTGTAGAATGGAAAAATGAAAATCTTGCAACACTTAAGTAATTAATATTTCTGAATGAATGAATGAATGGATAGATAGATAGATAGATAGAGAGAGAGAGAGAGAAAGAGAGAAAGAGAGAGAGAGAGAGAAAGAGAGAAAGGGAAAGAGATATATATATAAATAAACAAGCAAATAGACAAGCAATCACAAACAAGTGATAAAAAAAAGATGTGAGAGTAACCTGAAGACCATGATCACCAGCATCATATCTGTTATCACCATCCAACGTTTCGACTGTTATGTAGTCTTTAAAGGACTCGATTACTAAGTCAAGATAGAAAGATAGGAGAAATGAGGATATTCAAAATTGATAAACTCACATTTCAGCACACTATTATAGGTTTCTATGTTATTAACCATTTTACAAGATAACGTCACAATTAAGATAAATTTATGTGAATAATGTTTATAATTGTGTTTAATAACTCTAGCATGTAAATATTGATAATAAACAAAATGATGATGACATAGATATAAAATAATAATAAATAACAGAGTAATTTTTCAAGGTTTGATTGAATAGGGACACATTACGGGAGATATAATGTCAAACTGCAACAACTATATTAATGTCAAATAGCAATTTGTTGTATTCCCTTCACATTTCAACACTTCAAAGCATATCTGTATGAGAACTGCATAGATATTTTCACCAGTGGAGAACGCATTATTAGAATACCAAGAGTGCAAACAATGAACTTACTGTTTGCTTTTCCTTTAATGTTCAGTTGTATGTCATAGAATGCTTCTGTTTTAGAGGATAGGTAGTTAACGTGCTTGCAACGAATGTACGACTGGCGTGGTGGTGATGATGATGATGATGATGATGGCAATTCAGCTATATAACAATATAAAAGACAAATGTACATTTAAAATACGTCACGGAAATATTGTTCTATAAAAATGTTGGCATGGTAGAAATTTAAAAAATTATGGGAACGGAACCAACAAATAAACAAAATTCACCAGCATTCTTCCTTCAAATAACTTTGGAATTGTTCCATCAACACATGTGCCCTTCATCTTGCTTTCCATATTTTCCAACAACTGATATATTTGGATGTCATTTAATAGCAAATAAACTATAATAGAAACAAAGTTAAACAGTTAAAACAAAAAACATTTGTTTAAAGCTGCATGACCGAAATTAATAGGAAGGAACTTTCTGAAACTAAACAATAAAAAGATTCAGCTATGTATGTAAACCAATTTATATAACAAACATGGAGTGACAAAAAAAAATATGAACATATGAACACACGAAACCATGAATGACAAGCAAAAATGAGCATTTAAACAAATGAACAACAACAACAAACCACTCGACACAGCTCCTGTACGTCATGTTGCATGAAAGAGTCAAGAGTCTCCCAGCTTATGCAATATAAACCATTTAAAATATTAACATCAGCATTTTGGTTTATGGATTATTCTTCACCATTACTTCAGCGCGTTTCAGTTACTGACAACAAAAATATATGCATTAACAAAGCAAAATGAACAGTACCCAAACGATTTTGTTAACTTCTTAGTGCCAACTGGCTTATCACTGAACTGCAGTTCGTAGAAGACACGTTGCAGTGCCAACGCAACACATTTCGATGAGTCATCGCTTTCTGTCGGCATCATGTACACTGCCTGATTATTATGAAACAACAAAGCAGATAAATTAAAATGTTAAATATCACATATAAATTGTCATGTCATATAAATAGACCCAAGAACATGAATCATTCAATTGATTAATGTTAAGGTCAAGCTAACCTTTCTGAGCTGATTGGTGAAGAAAAGTGTTTGCAGTAGTGAGTTCATGTAGCATGTAGCTCCTTGGTTCTTCAAGCCCACACAACCTGTGTGCTTCTTTGAGTCCCAGCTGAAATAGGAAAAAAAACAACAAAATAAACTGAAAAAGACTTTAACGAAAACCCTTTTTTTAAATTACGTCTTTAAAAGACAAGATTTATGCAGCTTATAACTCATTAAATAACTGGAAAGACAATAACGAGGCAATAAAAATAGAGACCTAACACCATGAGGAGCATCAGCTTTGACAGTAACTTCTAAGGTAACTGAATCATCTTTCACATATCCTTTTTCAGGATCCAGCAATTCCTGCATCAAGAGAGCAATCAATCAATTAATTAAATAAATAATTAAGTAAGTGTCACATCACTATTGCATCAATGACAAAAATATTTATAAGAGCAGCCAGCTGTTATAGAAACAGGAGTGTAGTAATTAGTAAACAACAACGTCAGGCTCTAGCAAAATTATTTTTTATTGAAAAGCACTCAGACTCAATCAATACAAACATTCATGGTTATGAAATTACTGAAGCCCCAGTCATTTTCTTTACTGTAAAACAGATGCTGAATTTCTAAAATATAAATTTTTTCACTGTTTTTTAAATGGTCACAATTTTCTTATAAAAAAATACAAAAAATTTGTCAAAAAGCAAAAATTCTTTATCTTCAAATTCATCATATAATAGTAAAATATATATTTTCTTGATAAGGTGGTTTAAATAAATTCTAATAATATTAAGAAAAATATTAAGTCAAAAATGGGATTAATATGTAGCAGTAGTAAGAAATGCAAAATTAAACAACAATGTCAACCCAGGACATCAATGCTTCAATTTTTACGAATATTGACATCTAAATGTAAAGGTTGAAACATTTATTATTCAAACAACAACACAATTTCTAAAACAACACAAAACTGAGTCATCTTGAAGGACTTTTGTTGAAAATCTATGAGAACAGTCCAATTAATTATTCTACCGAAATATAAAATGATGACAACAAAGGAATAAAATAAATCATTCAATCATATATTAACTTCTGACAAGTGGTTTTCCATCGGGTTTCTGGCTTAGGATTTTCAAATCTGCCACACCATTGCAGGACCAGGTTCTGAATATTCAAGATATTAAAACAGAAAAATTATAACATAGCAGTTGTGATTAAAAGAAAAATAGATCAATCATGATATCTTCAAAATCTTAACAGGAATGTCACTACATATATCTCACAAACATTCTGTCAATGTCTTCAACGACAATCTTATAAAAATGAATTGTTAATGATATTAATAATAAAATAATATCAAATGAAATGACATGTTCAATGCTGTTAAATGTAACTTGTTGCTAATGTTCTGACAAGTTGATATGCATTGAAAATGCAACAGATAATGGCTTTGTTGTAATGCGTGATGTAAGTGCAAACTTTTTTTTTAAATGTTTACATACATACATAAATGTTTTTACAGGAAAAATTAAGGAAATAATAAAAAAAAGTGTAAGACTAAAAAAAACTATTAAAAAAAAATTATCAACTGAGATTCAGTCTCTCCATTGCACTGCAGGAAGTATCCAAGATTCTTTGGGGCATGTTTGTCTGGAGTATTCATGCTATTTCTCGGCATAATCATTATTTTCCTACCAGGAATAATTTTATTTCAATCAACACTTTTCAAGAATGAAGAAATACATGAGAATAATATGAATTTAACAAAAAAAGAAATAAATAAATGATTGAAAATGCTTCAATGGATTCATTACAATTAAAAACTAATAAATAAAAGAAAAAAGTCATTTCAAAATGAATAATTGAAAATGTTTCAATGGATTCATAACTTTATTATCTCAATTAAAAACTATTAAATGAAAGAAAAAAATCATTTCGTATAAATTTTACAGTGAAGAAAATAAAAACTAAATAAAGAAATTGACATATAACCCAAAAACATACCAAGGCAAATTTCTTATATAACAAGGTGGACCGAGACTAGTTTCTTTAAGCCTAGAAATGTTGTGTACTGTGTATCTAAACGTGGCCTCTGAACGACTTTCATCTACGAAAAAATATAGGTTAAACTTAAGAGATACGTTTTAAAGATGGATTCCATTTCAATTAAGAAATCCTACCATCATCTGATGAATAGTCATGATTAGATGGAACATCTGCATCATTGTTTCCCTCGGTCGAGTCAACTATTCTTTCATCTATGCTGTCAATGGGCTGCTCTGCATCAGTCAAGTAATAAAATAATATGACAATTTGAGTAATTTTTTTTATTAAATGAAAACCTTTTCTAGCACAAATTGTTTTGTTTACTTTACAAACAAAAAATGAAAACCATTATAAGTTATGACTATCACTATGTACTATAAAAAAGGTTCAAAACAAAAAAACAAAAATAAAACATTGAAAAATATTAACTCCACTACCAAATAACAAACAAAGTTAATCATATAAAATTAAAATAGATATAAATTATAAATTTATAAAATAAATGGAAATGATATAGAAGTTTTTAATTTTTTACAAATCAAATTCAAATGAAATAACATGCAGACCAAAAAGAACAGAACAGAATGATGACAAGCATTTCAATTACAAACCTTCAGTTTCCATTTCTTCGGTAGAGGAAACGGTCATGTTTCTATTTTCCGGGCGATCGATAGAAGCATCGTTGTTCATGGTTATCACAGAATCGACGTTATTTTTGCAATTATCAGTCGCAACTTCACCGCTGACAGGACCTTTAACACTAACAGGCACCTCAAATTTTGCAAACTTGCTTGAAATCCGCCCAATCTCGAGAAGGTTAAACCCCGAAATACAGGGTAAATTCAATTTGGTGCTACTTTAAAATCAATTTTTACAAAAATTTACGCACATACATATTATTTATAAGTCATGCGTAACATTCATCACAAGGAAAAAAAATAAACATAATTATAAAGATGGCGGAAAATTAATTCGTGAAGAAAGAAATGAAATAAAAAAAATTAACGAGCGTAATTTAATGACAAAATTTTCGCAAAACTTTCAGCCATTCAAAATGTCATGACGCATATCTAAAATTATGACAGTGAATATTATTCTGAAATATAAACTAAATTCAAATTCACATAGTAGCTATGTCTGTCCGAGGCCGACAACTCGACTCCTGCTACATGAATCAGTTCTTTTATTATCTGTACCCCTCATGGATATACTGTCAATTTTCGATCACTTCTCAAAATACGACAAAATTAAACAGAAATTTTCAGTAAGTTGAAGTCAAGCACAAGCTGTTAAGCGATTGAATAACATCAAGAGTCTTCAATAGATTTCATTATGTATTTCTGAACACACACCATTGCTTCGAATTCCTTTCGAATACGACAATTGATAAATAAATCTTCTATCAAAAGCGATTGAATAACATCAAGAGTCTTGGTAATGACAAACTACCGGGTGCCTGTCAAGTACGACGAACACAAATTAGTTCACATATAAAGATTAAAATATTATAAACAGAAAACTTCGGAAAAAACTTCGGGATTTCTGTTATCAAAATATACATTCTCAAGCTCAAGAGATAGAGTACCACATGAATCTATAGTAACAAACTACCAGTTTAAATTAATTTATCATTGTCGTATTCGAAAGGAAATCGAAGCAATGGTGTGTGTTCAGAAACATATAATAAAATTTATTCGGTCGGTTCAAGTTACCATATAACAACGTCGAGATTTTCATTATCAAATTAAACATTTTCGTGCTCAAGAGGATGAGTACTACCTAGTAACAAACCACGAATATATTATATCCATTTAACAAACTACTTGCTTAATTTGCTAAATCAGCGCCACTAAAAACTATAAATATTTCTGTTCAATATCTATGCTTTATTGACTTTTAAAAACACACTGCCCACAATGGGGTCGATCCACTAGCCCTCTCAAGATCCGCCAACATTTTGACGGGGTGACCATCTTTTTTGCTAATGGACTTATAATGTCAATTTTCTTTTCAAAAAAACTACTTTTTCAGTTAAAACAACTTTCAATAGCTTTTAACACAAATAACGCTTACAACGAGGGGTCCAGTGTTCCCTGACACCCCTCTCCCTAGATCCGCCGCTAGTTGTATATATGGTTAAATGTGTTATACATTGTGGGTATTATAAGTATATAATCATATATATAGAATATATTTATAAAATATATTCCATATGTATGTATATAACGTAAATGGTTAAACTGTTCCTATCATAATCATATGGTTCTGATAATCTCTTGTATTTTTACTACATTTTCTTTGGTTCAATTAACGATAATTTTCTCGATTTTTCAAATGTACATTTACAAGATTAAATAAAACTTAGATCAAGCATAAAACTTAAAAGGCATCAAGTTATCGATTCAACCATTTTATCCACATTTGTGTTAGTTCTTTTTAAATTGTTTTTAATTTTTTTAAATTGAAGGCTGAAACTGAAACTAAAAGAAAAGGAAAGGCAGTGATTGTAAAAATATGAAAAAAACGGATATGGCCAAAATTTTTTTAATGTTTATCATTATATCTTAATTTTTAATTAAGTAACTAAATTGAGCAAAAAAAAATTTAGCCGTGGTTGCTAAAAAAATTATTTTGTAATTATTTAATTATTTGTCATTATTTATAATGGGGATACAACACCATGCAACCATTATTTATATGCCTATATGGTAATCCCATATAATAACATTATGATTATCAGACTGGCCAGACGTGATCTGATCAAACAAAATAGCATTAAATAAACTTTCAGTTAACAGACATGATGCAAATGAAATATAATGACTTGTTATATTCATGTTAGTTATCCAAGTTTATCATGAAAATTTAATGAAACTGTTTTTATCAAAATTCATTTTGTAGATAAAGCCTTATTTCGATTTTGAAAACAACTTTTGAAACGAGTTTGTTTCAAAAACAAATTTTAAATTCATTAATGTCAATAATTTGGTAGAATTCTTATAATACTGTATAAAATATGGTCTCCTTGCTCGAACACTATGCTCCTATGCTTGAACACTAACAAATATATACAAAATATAATGTAGAAGTATATATATATATATATATATATATACATATAAGTATATATATTTATATATATACCCACAAAGATTTAAAAATACTAATCAATATGTATAAAATATAAATATATAAATGTATATGTTCAATAATACATTTTTCATATAAAAATTTTCTTCATAAAATATCGAAAAATACTTTAAAAATCAATTAAAAAGTTACAGCTATTACTTGATACAAAGGAATGCATTTTCTCATAAATAATATTGCAGCCATGTTCTGTTATAAGTTATATCATGTTTTAATGAATAACTTAATAAAATTTTTATATTTTATTTAAGGAAAGGAGCATGGATGATATGGTGGATGAGTCTTGGGAAACTGTTCTTGCTCATTTGCAAGATGATGACACAGTTAATGAAAATTATTCTCCACATCCGCATCTCTTGGAATGCACCAGAGTTTTAGTGCAACATGACTTGTTCAATGTTCTACATGAATATTTAGTTGATGAACTGAAACAAAAGATCAACATAGAATATTATAAAATTTTTTGGGATAATTTCCAATTTGAAATACCTGAAACATTAATTGTTGATACTCTATTTACATCATTCAAAAATCTTCATGATCAACTGTTTTGTTGTTTTAGTTCCTTGTTGAAGTTTCATTTGCTTAATGGATTCTATAGTTCAACTAATGTGGATTGTGGGAAACTCAAAGAAATTTTCATTGTGCTGATTAATTCATATTTACGAGGAGTCATATTTTTTGTGAACACTGTTCATTACAAAGCTGCTCTAAAATGTTTTTTGAAGAAATTTTTCTCTGTTGCAGAGTTAGTAGACACAAAAAATGTCAACCTTGGTCTTCAAAACTGTTTATGCTGGTCTGAATTAGTTTCAAGTTGTCAATGCAATTCTACTTTAAAGAAGTTCAATGATTTTTTCAAATTGTTACACAATCTCAAAATTATTGAACTTGTAATAACTGAACCCATGATAGAATTAATTTTTGAAAAGATTGACAACCATCTAGAACTTCAATGTAAATCTTCATATGACAAATCTTACATCAAAGATATTTATAAATGGATTGAAAAGTTAATTATAAGTTGGCCTGATGAAATTCTTTTCAAATCGTTAGAGAAAAATGAATCTTCTATTAGATTTTTGTCAAATTATGCCAAAAAGTTTAAATATTATGCTGCAAATATTTATGGAAAAATGAGAATTGATCAACTGTTTGATATAATTATAGAATATCCTGATTCATTACCAGTGTTAATGGATTTGATTGAATGTTTGAAATTGGTTCCTGAGTTGAAAATGATTCTCGTTTATTCTCTCAAACAAGCTCTCAAACTGCGCTTATTACACCCAGGAGTTAACACAGGAGATATTTTGACTGCATATATATCCACCATGAGAGCACTCAGAATTTTGGACCAGAGTGGAGTTTTGCTGGAGATGGTAGGTGAGCCAGTAAAACAATATCTGAAAGGCAGAGATGACACAGTACGTTGCATTGTCACTAGTTTAACTGAAGATAGCAACAATGATCTTTCTGAGGAGTTGAATAAGGGTTATTTATTAGCTGACAGTGATTCTGAAGATGAGTTGTCTTGTCTTTTTAATTGGGAAACTTGGAATCCTGACCCTGTCGAAGCAGAACCTCTTAGACCCTCCCAAGCTAGCAGATCTTTTGATATAATTAGCATGCTTGTTAACATCTATGGAAGCAAAGAACTGTTCATTGAGGAATATCGTTCATTATTAGCTGATAGAATATTAACGCAGTTGAGCTATGACACTGTAAAAGAAATAAAACATTTAGAACTATTAAAACTAAGGTTTGGCGAAAGTCAGCTGCATCAGTGTGAAATCATGTTAAAAGATGTTTCAGACTCTAGAAGAATTAGTAATATAATTCAATCTAGAAAACAAAGTGTTGATGCTTCTGACGTTATTCCTATTAATGGCATGATTCTGTCAGCACAATTTTGGCCTCCAAGATTGAAAGATGAGAAAGTTAAATTACCAGATTGTTTAATTAATTCAATGCAGCATTATAAAAAGTCGTTTGAATTGCTGAAAGGGAATAGGACTCTAATCTGGAAACCCCATCTTGGGTTGGTTAATATGGAGATAGAGTTAAAAGGAAAAATTTTAACGTTTAATGTTTCTCCAATACATGCTGCAATTATCTGGCATTTTCAGTCTAAACCAGTGTATACTGTTGATGAATTAAGTTCTATTATGCAAATGCCAACTCAAGCTTTACAAAGAAAAATTGCCTTCTGGCAAAGTCAGGGGTTATTAAAAGAAGACGGGGTTGATACTTTTAGGGTTGTTGATGAATTAAAAAGTACCTCACAAGATACTATGATAGTTGATGAAGATACAGTTGAATCGGTTTTAGTTTCTTCTAAAGATCAAAAAGAAGAAGAATTACAAATTATTTGGTCATATATTGTTGGAATGCTAACAAATTTGGAATCTCTATCTTTAGAAAGAATACACGCGATGTTAAAAATGTTTGCAATGCAAGGACCCGGATCACAATGCTCTCTTTCTGACCTGAAAGCTATTTTAGAACTGAAACTCAAAGAACTTAAACTTGTTTATTCAAATGGTGTTTATAGACTACCTCCAAGTTAATATCACCTTTCAAATTATTCATGTCCACATAATGTTGTCCTTAATATTTTTATTAAATATACATTAAACGCTACGATGTTTCAACGTTGTAAAAGTAAATCATCATTGTTTCTTTCAGTCGATCTTTGTCAGTAGACGAGCGTTTGCTCAAGTTCTTAAATAGGAGGTAGGTTTCTCATAAGAAAATAGTTACTGGGGTTTAGTAACATGTAGGTACGGTTGTAGAAATTGGTATAGCTGGCGTAAGAAACGGTCACATGTCTATCCAAAATGAATTGCATTTAGTTGCGCCTATAGAATATTTTTTGCAGGGCCTACTGTATTTTTTCTCTGTTGTTTAATCGAAAAGAATTGCTGTCCCTCAATGGCTATAAATGTAAGCCGAATGTGGACGCGGAGCTTTCGACTCCTTTGTATTCCAACTAAGCTATGTAAGAAAGTCTTTTATACAGAGAATCATCAATATAGATAATAAATTGGTTGGTGAATTAGCCTAGTCTGTCCGAAACTCTGATTCGTATGCCATGCGCGTGTTATGCGGTGCTCGCGCGAGCACGTAAAATGTATGTGGGTAGTACGTCCTTTGCGGTTCATAAGTTGTTTTATAATTATGGAATAACATGTAAACGGTGCTGTGTTTGATAAAGCTGCATATTGAAAGAAGGAAGACGGTTGCGTGCGATTATTGAAAATGATGCAAGTGCTGCTCAGTCAATATTCATGCACTATGCTTCAATTCTTATACAAGTACGATGCATACCAATAAAAATGATTCCAGCTAAAGTTCTCCAATTAGAGTTTATAAAATTATAATTTATTAAAAAATTTTTACAGATGACTAATTAGTTAGCTAAAACTTTAATTTATTGTCGAAAGTATGAGACTTAGTGTAACCCATGGATAACCATACAATATTGTCTATTCTATGTGATGCAGGCCATACAGTCTTTTCCAGAAGTTTTATCTCTACATTTTACCTCAAACAAAAGTTGTAAATAAAAACATAATGCACGCCATTTTTATTCTGGTTTTTCATGGTTAGTTCGTCTTAGGGTTGTAAAACTCGATTTTTTATATTTGGAACGAGATATTTACATTTATTATTGTTTGATATGTTGGTTGTTTTAATCGAATTTTACTTAAATGTTGGGTTGTACAAAATTTTGTGCCGCACTGATTTATTTTTGCATGGCGGCGGCATACTATGATGAAAATCTCAAAGAAAAATGATCATTTCGTTTTTCTTTTTCAATTTGACAATTTTCAAAAAAATTTTTTAGTCCTTTTACTTAGCCTTGCTACTTTTTGCAGTATTTCGTACTTGGTGCATCAAGTCATGAAATAAATGGATTTCTACTTCAGCATACAAACTAAAATTCAAAAACAAGAATTAGGCATAAACTAGATCTAAAAGTATAATAATATGAAATAAAAAAATAAAGCCATGGCATAAGCCACAAATATAAATAAAATAAATTCTCATTCAGATCTTTTTCATTATAGCGTATTATTTGGATAACTCTCTATTCATGGTAAATATCGCTGCTGAACTGCTAAAAAATTATTAAAGATGCGGTAAATGTTTGTCTATGGTAAATTAATCATATCTTTAGATAGGAATGCAAAAATGTTTATTAACTTTAACATAGATCAACATCGATACTTTTGCAAATGATATAATATCGCTGAAATATTGATAGTCGACTCTCAAAAAATCTTAAAAAACATCAATTACAAAGTTTTGGTCCGTCTGTTAAAGAAAAGAAATGACATTTAAAATTAAATCAACAGATAATAAATTATTTTGATGTATTTAAGAATAATGTTGCATTTCTAGGTAGACATCGCTCACTTGTAATTCTCAGAGCGCATGTATGATTAATAATATAACTTGGAAAAATATTAGGAAATATATGTCTTTAAATTTGAAAATGCTGTGAAGAGTAAATTAATTTTTTCTCTTCTCAGGCTATGACTAAGCACCCAGGAAGGCCACAGCAATAATTATTATTGACTAAGTAAAAAATATATGCTGTAGTATTTAAGGTGGAGGTAGTAATTTTTCAAAATATATGCTGCATTATTTAACACAAATGTAGCCTTGTGTTATTTTCTTATTTTCTTTTTTTTTATAATATAAAATAGATATTTTTTTAAAATAGATATTTATATTTTTTATAATATAAAATATATATAATTAGAAATAGATAAAAGATAAATTAAAATTTTTTGGTTCAATTTAGTCAAATTTTGTAATTGCAGTATAATGCACGGAGAAACTTAATAAGAAGATAAAGATTTCTTTCTCGTTGAACCAGTTATCCGCATTATTAAAGATGCTTTCTCAAGATTCAGACGTTCCAGTTATCAAACGTCTTAAATTAAATTTTTCCTCTTCCTCAGCTGCAGGTTATTTCATTTTTTCTCATGATCAATAATTAATTATTATAACAAATAACACCTTACTGTCCATTGTGTATTGTACTGTGTTTGAAGAGATTTTCCATTCCAACTTGCATGTCTGTTATATATTGCTTGGAATGCTCGGGTGTTTGTGGAGATGTTTTAATTTTATTAATATTTCATATTTTTTTCTAATTTTACACTAATTCATAATGTAAGAAATGAAGGAATTTTCAGAAAAATAACATGAATAACATTGTAAAACAAAGAAAATATTGCAATTTAAAATGCCTTTTCAGCAGGAAAATAAATTTATAGAGTACTTTGTGTTATGAAAGAAAATTATTTAAATAATTAAATCAAGTAACTAAAGAGGGATGAAGTTAATTGGATAAAAAAATGCAATTATTATTATTTGTCAATCCCAATGGCATTAGTTATGTATCTGTTAGTTATGTATCTGTATAGACTGAAAGTATGGTGAAGTTAGGGGTGGATGCCACCAGGCTTGTGAGATGTTGAAGATTCATGTCAGATATCATATGTTATTTTGTGTTTATTATTATATGCTAATGATGATGATGATGATGGTGGTGATGGGATGATGATGACCTTTAATGAATATCTATCCTACAATATTTTTGTATGAAACATTTGTTCATTTAGTATTTTCATGCTCATTCTTAAATGTTTTCATACTTATTGGTTTGTGTTTAATGAATTTGTTTGTTAATATTTTATAAAATTCATTTCATTTAATAAGATCAAGCTTGGAGTATTGTCAATCCCACTGAGCTCAATGCCCAACTTCCTGATGAGTTAAGTGATGTGACAGAGTCTCCCAGTATGATTTATTCATTTGTATCTACACTTTGTTGTAATTTCAATTAAAGTAATCTTTAATTAGAGACAGAATAAAAGATCTCTTGTTTATCTTCTGTTTTAATTACTAGAGCAAATATTGTAATTATGTTAAGTTGGATGATGAATATTTTTTTTTTTATTTTTCAGATTCAGACAGTTTTGGAAATACAAATGGGAGCTATATGGATTCTTACATGCCTAACAACAGCTTAACATCCTTCAACACTACATACAATATTCATGCCACGAGTTCAGCTACTAATAATAATGCTTCCAGCACACTAACAATTTCAAATGGCAAGCAGGTGACAAATTCTTATGAATACTATCAGCAGAATCAAAATTTTATTCAACCACAACATAATTCTGCTGGGATTTTTGCAGAAAGTTTTAGAACAGTTTCATCAGCAGCTAACTCCAAACTAGTGACCAATGGCGTTGGCTCTGATAACAGTAATATTGAATTTAATAGCAACTCTAACATAGCTAGTTACGCCTGTAACAATATTGTCATTAACAACACTAGTCACGTTACTCATGCTTATCCTCCCAACGTTATCATCCTGCCTGAATCTCAGCACCAACCACCACTCAACAACAACTATTCAAATCTCATAAACGAAACCAGCACAGTTACCGTGAAGGAAGACGATAAAGATCTCTTAAACAACGAGTCCTTAGTTCATCAGGGCCTGTGGAGTAGAACCACGCAAGGACAAGGTCAACAATTTCATAAAAACAACTCATCACAAAATATACAATCAATTTCAGATGAGACTAAAAGACGACTGATACAGCAACAGCTTGTGTTACTGTTGCATGCTCATAAGTGCAAGAAACGTGAAGAGAGTAACAACAATTTTCTAGAAACTTCATCAATAGGCTCAGCAGAGAATCTAGACCATAATGTTTGTTCTATACCTCACTGTAAAACTATGAAGAACATCATTGTTCATATGGTTGATTGCCGATTGGGAAAGTTCTGTAAAAGTAAATAATTTCACTGATTCTTTCATTAATTGTTTTAGTCCACACAATATAAGTTTTTATACGACATGCTAATCTCATAATTTGTATCCTTAATAGTTTGAAAAATTCAAATTTTAAATTTGTATTGAGTTTAATTAAATATTACAACTAAAACAGCGGCCCATTGTGCATCCAGTCAGCAGATATTGCACCACTGGAAGATATGCAACAATATGAATTGTTCTGTTTGTTCCCCACTCAAATTAATATGCGAAAAAAAGTCAACAGCTGCCTCAACATCTACCACTGCACTCGCAAACAATTTCATAATCTCCAGCAACTCGCATACTCATACTTTTCCTTCGGCAACATCTAGTTTTATTACATCTGATAATTCGTTAAGTTACGGTAGCCTGATAGCAAATGAGAGAACATCTAACACTTCCAACGTGTTAGTATGCACTGCTGCAACATTGTCACAACAATCTTCTTCATCTCTATCTCCCGTTACTGTCAACAAAACTCAGGTCTTGAATCACTTGCAACAACTACACCATCAGCTGCAGAAGCAGCACGAAATGCAACAGCAACAACAATTGTTGTTACAGCAACAACAGCCACAACCAGTTGCTCCAGTCACAAAAGCACAAGATTCAAAACAAGATTATAATGATTCTTTTGGTGAGCAGCATCAACAGCAATTCTTTATTCAAGTTTCTAAAGAACAAGATTTGAAACAAGATACTAATAACTTTTGCAATGAACAACTACTTGGTGATCACAGTCAACAACAGGAATCTGTTCAGTCACTGCCACGTGAATCATTACCATCATGTCAATCAAAAAACACACCACTGATGAATGGAAATGCTCCTAATCAAACTGATACTCCTAGATCAGCTGATTGGCGGGAAAATGTCACTTCAAATCTGAGGAGTATTCTCATTCACAAATTGTCTGTTTTTTTTTGTTTTTACAAAATTAATTTATTAACATTTAATAAGGTATTTATTGAAATGAGGTCATGGAAAATGTGAAAAAATAAACGTTTGAATGTTTTCAGAGTAAAAGCCATTTTTCCTCAATGTAACGAAATGTCATTGAAGGACAGAAGATTGTTGAGCCTGATGCACTATGCAACAAAAGTTGAGAGTGACATGTTTGACATTGCTCTAAATATGGTATGTTGTGTATGTTGCTGCATGTTGTTGTTGTGTATGTTTCTTACTTGCTTATTTGTATGTGTGCTTTTGTGTTTATCTGCCTGTTTTATATGTGACTATATTTATTTATTTTTTGTTACTTGTTTTTTTATAATTAATATCTGATTTATTTATTAATATTAATTAATAATTAATTAATTATTAATAAGAAAATAAGTATCTAAATTGGATTGAAAACATTGGGTGATGTTGAATGATTGATTGTCTTACAGTGGGGTTTTCTGTGGTTTTCCTATAGCAAGCTGTCATTTTTAATTCCTCTCCAATTTTATTTATTTTGTTTCTTATTCCACTATATTCAGCCGAGCACATCATATTTTTTGATAATGCATGTGTCATATGATATTGTAAATATATTTTTTCAAAAGTTTAATTTTTGGAAAACTCTTCAAATTTATAACTTCTATAATATAAAGTAATGCTGTTATTATTTTCGCAAAAGTTTTTTAAAATTAACTTTTAATAGAGAAATTATCATCATAAGCGTTTGAATTTTTAAGCATGAAGATCTTATTTGCATAACAATTTATCACAATCAGGGAAGAAAATTGATACTTTATGTTTCAATATCTCTTTAATGATGCTAACATCTCATACATTTATAGACGATTATGTTTACTTCAAATTTAAATTCAATTATTTATTTATTTAATAATTTATTTATATATATGTATAATACAATTCCTTTCAGAATGACTACCTCCAATTATTGGCTGTGAAAACAAGCAAAATACAGAAAGATTTAGATGAGAAAAGATCTAAACAATTATCTGATGGTAGGCTGCATGTGTTCATCCTTATATTTAGATCTAATTTGTATTGTCTTAATTTATAATTATTTCAGAGTTGACATACTTTTGCTATCTAGAATAAGATATTATTTTTATAACGTTATTATTATCTTAAACTTATAATCTCTTAAAAGTTTTGTTCTTGATCTGGTCTGAATCATCTACTTTTGAAAAAGAATTATTGAAAACAATTTGAAATATCATAGATTTATAGTGATTTAATACAATATCTGTGATGAATAATTTTTAGAAAGATGTTAAAGATATATAAATAAATATATTAAAACATAGGTACTTTTTTGAAAAATGTTGAAAAAGTATAAATATTGTTACATTACAAAACATTGGTTCCCTACATGTACGCCATACAATATCCTTGCATAACAATATATTATGACATATAGTTTCTAGAAAAAAGTTCAAGTTTTATGAATTAAAAATTTCGAATTATTGTTTTACTAATTTATCTTCTAGGTCACAATGTTGAGGAGGCTACTTTGAAGAGCTCTTCATCTGCTAGCCTTCTAGTTAGTTTATTAATTATTCCTTATATTTTTATTGATATGACGTGAAATTGTTTTTTTTTTATACAGTACTTGCATACCTCTCATTCATGTACACCACACGCGCTCACACACGCACACACACACAAGGATTGAGAGAGAGAGAGACGTTTGTGTTTATATCTGCTTAGAATTTTATTAACGCACCAATCCTGTTGATATTCATTTGCAGAGTGTTTCCTGTACATTCCCCTCTGATGTTACTGGCAAGCCATCATCATTTCCATCTGTTACATCTACTGTGAAGCCATCTCTAGCCTCACTAGCTTACTCTGTTTCAAGTGTTTCTACTCATCTGACACATGCAACAATGACTGCTACAACAACTTCAACAAGTCAACTGTTTCACCAGGCTGAGTCAAATGGAAGTTCAATGGATGTTGAGTTTGGCGGACCACCTTGCACATACATGCTTCAACCAAATGAGTTTACAGGAGACAGCAGTGATAATTCACCTGAACTATTGTATGCAACAAACATGATGAACACTCAGGACAATAATATTTCTAGTCAAATAATACATAAAACCAGCAACAGCAAGCCACTCCTCCTAGCCAATGAAAGTTCTTCTGAAAATTTTAATCATAATACGTCTGCATTGGTTAAGATGGGTAACAAAAACAACAGCTCGATACTGTTTGCTGATTTGAGTGCTGTTAAAAATGAAAGCAATGATATTGATAACAAACTTGAAGTTAAGTTGAAAAATGAAGATAAGAATGGAACTCTGGTGAAGTCAACAAGCCCAACTGATGTGAAGGATGGTCTTGATTACACTAAAAAAGGTTGTTATTATCTCATTTTAAATGCTGATGTACAACTCCAAGGTGACCATAAATCCTTTTTAATAATAATTAAACGTAATTATTTAACATTGTTCAGTGTTGACAGGTACAGAATTGAGATGTATTCTGATGCCAGTTTTGGAACAGTTGTACAGATGTGAGCCAGAGTCCTTTCCCTTTAGAAAACCTGTTGACCCACTTGGAGAGGGCATACCAGTGAGATTATTATATATTTGGATATTTCTTGTTGCATCATTTGTTCATATACAAAAGTTGTGTCTGTGTGTGTGTGTGTGTGTGCGCGCGTGTGTGTGTGTAAGTAATTGCTTTATTATCATAACGGATTTGTCAACTGACAGGATTGGTAATTAACTCATTAATCAGTTAATTGAACTCATTTATTACCTACTATCTTTAGTTTTTCATCTTTCTCTTATAATGATTTGCTTTTAGTCCTTTTTATTACTGTTATGGTTATTAATGTTGTTGTCGCGTTTTTGTGTTGGCTCTATTCCACATGGTGGCATGTTTTCGTGATGATGGTTGTAATTTGGTGGAATTGATTATTGTTTGCTCAATGTTTATTGTGCATTACAGCTTACATATTTTGTTCTGCAGTAAACAATTTGCATATTATATATACATTTTATTCCTTAATTTTGCTTTCATACTTTTGAAACAAAAACTCTATAAAAAAATGTGAATCTTTTTAGGATTACTTTGATGTCATAAAGAAGCCTATGGACCTGTCAACTATAAAGAAAAAATTGGATGCGGGTTTCTACAGTGATCCGTGGGTTTTCATTGATGATGTCTGGCAGATGTTTGAGAATGCATGGACTTACAACAAGAAAGGCACTAAAGTTCACAAGTACTCCACTAAGGTTTGTTCTTTTTACTTACCATGCTTTCGTTCAGCATTGCTATATATATACATTTTATTCAATATATAACATTGAAATCATAATCAATTTTAAATTCGTTAATTTATTTTCATGCTAGACATAACTTTCATTGGATGATTACTTTGTAAACAGCTGTCTGAAATATTTGACCACGAAATTGACAACATGATGAAATCATTGGGCTACTGCTGTGGCCACAAACACATCTTCAGTCCCATAGTCCTTATCTGCTATGGCAAGCACATGTGCACCATACCCGTCAACACTTACTATTATACATACCAAAATAGGTAGGTACATTTTGCTATAGGGTTTTTTTATGTACATTAATTATAATGAAAATTAATTAATCACGTCTTAGTTATTTTGATTTTATTTTTCATTGGAATATTCGTTGTTTGATTATTTTTTTTTTATTTGATAATGTTGATGGATTTGAGATTTCGTCAATTAATTAATTTTAAATAAATTCCTTTGTTAGGTTTTCCTATTGTGAGAAATGTTTCAATGACATTAGGACTGATTATATTGAGTTAAATGAAGATGCTAGTCAAGCGCCGACGTATGTTTCTTATTTAAAATCATTTTCATCTTTTAGGTTTTTTTTTCATATATTATATTTCAAATACCTCATAAATTACATTGGAAATAAATAAGATTTTAATATAATTGAAAAAATGATTTTATGTTTTTTTTATTTCTTCTCCTAAGTCGCCTGCTGAAAACTCTCTTCCTCAAAATGAAAAATGGAGAATTTGATTACGAACCGTAAGCAGCAGTTTTTTTTTATAATTTCAGTTGATTATTCAATCATTTATTTATTTATTTATTCCTTACAATTTATTCTTCACAAAATAGTTTGCCAATATAAATTTTAATTAATTATACATATTGTCGTTTTACCTGTTGCTAGGTTAGTAGCCTGCAGTATTTGCAACAACAAGCACCACAACATCTGCGTCATGCACATGGATCAGATCTCCAGTAGCAACAGATTCGTCTGTTCTATTTGCACAAAAAGTCAGAACTTGAAGAAAAAAGAAAATAAATTTACCGCTAAAAGTCTGTTTTTTTTATGTACTTCTCGTTTTTTTAATATTTCCATTTTAATTTGATTTTTACTAACAATCATTATAGTCATAAAATAGATTATTATATTATATTATATTATTGATTATTATATTTTTATTTACTAATCACTATTTTTATTATTATATTTATTAAGGAGAATATTATATTTGTAAAATTCTAGGACTTCCACAAACGAAGTTAGGTTCTTATCTGGAGTTGCGTGTGAACTCATTTCTGAAGAGGAAGGATGCAGGTATAAATGATGTTGTCATTAGAGTTCTCGCAAGTTCAGAAAAATCTGTCGAAGTTAAAGCAGGCAAGTTTTTTTATTGATTTCTTTATGCCTGCTTGTTCATTATAATTTTCTGTGTATCTATTTGCATCTTCTTTTATGTTATTTTTTATTATTCAACGTCTTTATACTTGCTGTTTTACCTTTATTTCTTCACATTTAATTTTGGTAGCTTTGCAAATTTTATTTATTGAAAAAATTATTCGTAAATTATCTTACTTCCAACTGCATGACATCTAGGCATGAGGAGGAAGTTTTGCAATGATGAAAGCAAAGAGATGGAGAAGAGTTTTCCTTACATAGCCAAGGCCATATTTGCTTTTATGGATGTAGATGGAGTGGATGTCTGCTTCTTTGGCATGCACGTCCAAGAATATGCCTCATCTGTTCAGCCCAATTCTCGGTATTACTTGCTGTCCCAAATTCTATTTTTTGATTCATTTTTTGTAATTATTTTTTCAAGAATTACGAATTTTTTAGTTTTTCTGATAAGTTAGTGTCTTGAAATTATGGCTACCCAGATATTATATTCAATAATGTTATCCCATGGTTATAAATTGCAGACGTGTTTACTTAGCATACATGGACAGTGTCAACTTCTTCAGACCAAAGCATCTAAGAACATCTGTCTATCATGAATTGCTTATAGGGTACTTGGATTATGCTAAAAATCTTGGGTTTGTTTATTTTAATATAATTTTTGGTAGTATTATTAGTTTTCATTGAAAAGTTAAAATATTCAACTATTTTTGTTGTCAGTTACATGTACGCGCATATATGGGCGTGCCCTCCGAGCGATGGGGATGATTACATATTCAACTGCCATCCACCTGACATGAAAATTCCGAAACCAAAACGACTGCAGGAGTGGTACAAGAAGATGTTGAACAAGGCTGTCAATGATCAAGTCATACATGATTACAAGGTTTGTTCCTTTTTTTTAATGCCTTGGTGTTATTGCTTATATACTTCGTGTTATTTAATTCTAAAATACTTGAAAAAGACAGCAGATTTAATTTGATAAATATTATTTTTTAAACTTCAACAGGATCTCTTGAAGGATGTGATAGAGAAAAATTTACAAAGTGTGACGGAAATACCTTACTTTGAAGGTGACTACTGGCCCAATGTTTTGGAGGAATGTATCAAAGAACTGGATGAGGAAGAGAAGAAGAGGAAGGCATTGGAGGAGGCAGATGAAGATGACATGGCTGATGATGACACTAATGATGTTAGCTTATTTAACTTATCTTTGGTTTATATTTAAATTTATTTAATTTTCTAATTTTTTTCAGCATTGATTTAAATTTTGATTGCAAATTGTTAATAAATATTTTAGTTTCTGTAATGTTTTACACGTTCTTTAACTTGAAAGTACATTTAGAAATGAGTCTTCACATCTTATTTGTTTTATAGATGAATAATATCAAATATTTAAATAAAATTAATTTCAGGAACACGGCCTAAGAAGGAAAGGACAAAAAGGACCATCATCTTCATCATTGAGCAACAAAGGCAGCAACAATAGTAATGGCAATTTACACGGCACTGGTGGAGCAGCGTTGAAGAGGAAACAGACGAAGCACAAACACGGGCCACAGCGTAAAGGTGGCAAGAAGGACTCACAATTGACTACAGTCTGCAGCTTAACTGCTCGATTACTCATTGCTATTGAGAAACTGAAAGAGGTCTGTCTAGTTACAGTTTATTTCTTCTAGCTTTTCATTTTTCATTATATGAACGTTTGAGTTGAAGTAAATTAAATGTAGCTTCATGTTAATTCAAATTAGTATTACAAATTGTTATTAAAATGTATGATTGGTTTTTTGATTTAGGTTGATGTTGGTCACTATTTTACCATTGTATTTCAACAGTACATTGTCATAAATGTAGCCAAATGTTTTCTTATTATCACAATGCAATCAGGGCTTCTTCGTTGTAACACTGCAAGATCCAGACAAGGTGACAGTGAACAGCTTGCATCCAATCAAGGATCCGGATCAGTTGGTACTCAATGATTTGATGGATGGTCGAGATTCCTTCCTGGCACTGGCCAGGGAGAAGCATTACGAGTTTTCGTCATTGAGGCGAGCCAAGTACTCAACTATGGCCATGTTGTATGAGTTGCACACCCAAGGCAAGGATAACTTCGTTTATACCTGCAACATCTGCAAGGCTGCCGTCGAAACACATTACCATTGTGAAGTTTGCAACGTTAGTTTGACTTTTATTCATTTAGTCTCTTCAACGCTCCTCCTCTTTTTTTATTTATTAAGCATTTTTGTTTAGTAGTAACGTTACGTAATACATAACCTATTTCTGCCGTAGGATTTTGACCTTTGTGTACCCTGCTACCAACAAGAAGGACATCACCACAAAATGGAAAAGTTGGGTGGTTTCGATCTCAATGAGAACCAGTTGTCAAACTCGACATCATCAACAGACCAGGAAGGTCCTCGAGATGTTCGCAAGGTGGCAATTGATAGGTGCATAACTGCTCTGGTCCATGCTTGTCAGTGTCGTGATGCTAACTGTCGACTCAACAGCTGCTACAAAATGAAGCGAATCATGAATCATATGAAGATATGCAAAAGGAAGAATAATAGAGGTCGTTATCGTTAGGCATTTCGATGTACACGTATATATGCTTCATCTGTTTGTTTGCTCAATAGTCTGGAGTTTATTATTTGGTTTATGTGGCTTCAGACTTAAAATTGTTTCCTCGTGTTTAATTATATTTTGCTGTTTTATCTCAATATTTTTTTTGAAGTAATTATCATTTTTCCTTTTAATTTATAACCAACTGATATTAACGTATTAATAAAAATTCAGGTTGTTCCATATGTAGACAGTTGATTGCTCTGTGCTGCTACCATGCAAAACATTGCCAGGAGAACAAATGCCTTGTACCCCTTTGTGCTCCCATTAAACAAAAACTTCAGTTGCAGAAGAGTGTTCAGGCTCAGATGATGAGAAGAAGAATGGCTGCACTGACTCAAAGTGGGACAGAAAATGATTCTAATGTTGATAATGCTAATGAGAGTAACGGTTATATGGAAAGTGAAAACAACAAAATGGATGTTGATGAAGAGAGATATGATCAATATGTTCAAAATGGTCAGGACAGAAGTAAGTTGGGATTGCTTTGTGGGCAATCACTGAAGTTGTCTTCTTTGAATACAAACGACAATGAAATCATATATAATCAAAAGATGATGGTTCAGTCTAATTCAATATCAGCTCCACTGTCGTCAACATCAGCTTTGCCAACAACATCATCATCATCAACAACTGTAACGTTCACTTCTAGATCATCTCAACCTGTCATCATATCATTGCACTCATCACTCACAAATCTTTCAACCACCAAGCCATCAACTTCCAACCTGAAAAGAGGTTTTCAGTGCATATCAACTACATCATCTCTGTTATCGCAGTTGGTTGCCTCGCCTATCTCAAACTCATCAGCAGGTCACTTACAGGTTAATAATAGTAACTCTAACTCACTGCTAACCACGTTATTGGCTAATAAAAATGACGATGATGTCATGTCGACAACATTTCATCAGAATTATAGCAGCAGTCAAAATATGCTGTCAGCATTACTGTCATCTCCACTGAACAATGGCATCAGCAACAACAATGACAACAGTCTGAATGAAAGACTTAAGTACATAAATGCTGCGAATCAATTTAATGACTCTTCTCTTAATGTTAACAATGATAACATTAACAACATTAGCCACATTAGTTATTCCGAGGATAATAATAATATTAATAATAATAATAATAATCTTATTAATAACAGTATTAATAACAATTTTACCTATATTACTAACAACAACAATAGCTCGAATAGCAATATTGATAGCAGCAACAATAACAACCTTCTGAACGTTGGAAACCTCAGCAACAGTTTGTTACTCATAAACACAGGTGATGGTTACAAGATCCTTACAAACGCATTCAATCAGCAATTAGATAATTCATCAATTGCTCTTGCAAATGACATCAACAACAAAAAACTCAGCATTATTAGTAACAGTAATTGCGCTAATAACAATAGTTGTAATAATAATAATGACGTTGTCAATGTTAACAACAGTTATATCGATTTATTAAATTATAATAATGTTAATACACCAAAAAATAATTTAATCAACGTTAATGGGATTAAACTCATAGATGATGAGGCAACAGGTCAGCCAAAAGTTTTCTTGCAAACAATTCTGCCGACAAATTCCAATGTTTTACTTTCTCAACAATCAGACTCAACATGTTCACAAATGCAACATCTGATTGAACAACAAAGTCTTCAGTTTCTCCAACAGCAAAAATCACAAGCAGCTGATCACCACCAGCAACAACTTTTTAAAGCTCAACAAGTTTTACAAATTTCTCAACAATTTTCTAGGGATGAACTTTGTAAAACAGACAATTTGTTGATCACGCCTGTTCAACAGCTTCTTCAAAATCAACCTCAGCAACCACAGCAGCAGCAACAGGTGTATGAGCTGCATGAATCAGTGAAACAATGTGTGCTGCAAAAGCAGATGAATCAAAAAAATTCACAACAAATAATAAAATTTGTCAGCTCAAATGTCATTCCTAATCAAGTACAACAACTAGCAACTAATAAACTTGAAAAGTCAATCAAACAGTCACCACAACAGCAAGCTTCGTCAGAAATGACTAATTTTTCAGTTTCAACTCTGCAGTCACAATCAACAACAACATCAGCAGGTGCAATGGTTTCTGAATATCTGCCAACAACCTCAATCCCAAAAGCAGGTGGTTTATTGACGAATCTTCAGAAACTTTTAAGCACAAATCCTTCTCAAAAGTATCAACGTTTTCTCAAGATGGTCAAAAGTGATCCAATAAAGATGGCTAGTTTCATAAAACAGGTAAATTATTTTGTTTAAATTTAGATGATGATATTTGCTAATCAAAATAATTTTCTTTCAGTTAGCAACAAATTCATTTTAAACTTTGATTCAAATTTTAGAAGCAGTTGGCATTGCAACAACTACAGCAGCAAAATTTAAAGGTAGCATCTTCATCATCAGTCTCATCAGCACTAATGCCCTCTTTATCATCACCAGAAACAACATCACTAACTGATGCAAGCACACCACAAGTTCCTCTTCAGCAAGTTGCAATAATTGGACAGCAACAACAACTGCAGCTGCAAAATAACAAGTCACAAATACACATTGTGAAGTTGCCTCAACAAAGCCAACAGCAACAACAACAACAACCACAGCAACAACAGCTGCAACTACAACAGCCTCAACAACAGCAGCAGCAGCAAGTTGCTCCAATAATGGTAGCTCTCAGACCTCAGGAATCGAATAAGCTGACCAAGCAGCCAACACCTGTCTCCTTTGCCTTGATGATTTCTGAAAGTGCATTATTAAGCCAGCCAGCTCAAACTTACATTAACACTGTTGATGTACTAAGCAAACCCAAGCCTCAATTTCAACAACAACGAAAACAACAGCCCAATGAACAACAATCAAATGATCAACAGCAGCAACATAAGCAGCAGGATCATCAAAAGACACCCAACTTTAACATTGGATCTGCCACTATACATATTAATAATCTGATTGCTTTTGATAATAACATTAACATTAACAACACGTTTAATGTTACAAATAACGTCAACTCAACTAGTGGGAATAACACTACCAACAACTCACCAAACTCCCACTATCAAACCTCTCCTGCTGCCAATATGTTCAAACACAAATTTGGCAACAACATGCCGCAGCTGACAGGCCCAAAGACTGTTACGAGTCAAGGTCGAGTTTCAACAAATTCGCAAGAAACACTCAATGCTTTGGTCAGCTTGCTCGCATCCAACAACAAAACAACTCTTACATTGCCATCAACTGCATCGTCGTCGCCATCACCTTCGTCATCGGTCAATAATACATTATCTGCTCTCAATGATGTTAGTCCTGCTGCTCAACTTGTTCAAAAACAACAGCAGTCTCAAAAGATGCTCTTGAATATCTCATCTGATTCTCTTTCACAACCACAACAACAACTGCAGCAACAGCAGCAACCCCAAAAGGTGTTTTTTAACATTTCATCAGATCAACAACATTCTCAAAAAATATTTCTCAACATCTCATCTGATCAACAACTACAACAGCAACAATTACTGCAACAACCTCAAAAGTTTTTCTTAAACATTTCATCTGATCAACAGCTACAGCAACTGCAACAACCTCAAAAAGTGTTTTTCAACGTTTCTTCCGATTCCCTATCTCATCAGCAACAACAACAACAGTTGCAACAGCCACAAAAGATGTTTTTCAACATTTCATCTGACTCTCTTCCACATCAAAAACATCTTCCACAGCGACTGCAACAGCAGAAAATTATATTACAATCAGGCGCCCAGCAGTTACAGAATGTAAACCTACTTCTAGCAAATGTTGATCCTCACAACCAGGAACAACAAAGCCAACAGCAGTTGAAGATTGTAAACATTAATCAGTTGTCTAACAAAGCATTACAAAATATTCAGCTATTAAATCAGCAGCAGCTGCAGCAGGACAGATTGTTATCATCTGGACAACAGCAGCAACAAGCTCAACAATTTCCAAAGCAGTTTTTGCTATTCCAACCATCTCAAAACAACAACACATCCATAAATAATCTACCAACATCTCTTACTGTTGCTACTCTAGTTGCGCAGACAACATCTACGATATCCACAACAATTATAACAGCAACAACTACAACAGCTACGTCAACGATAACTACTAACAGCATGAAGAA